CCCTGGTGGGACTGCTAGTGCAGCCCTTGAGGTTGACCTCTCTTCATCAGCGTCTCGTGGGATGACGGTTGTTACAGACCTAGGGGTACGTTTTGATGCTGCTCTCAGGTTTGATGAACACGTTTCAGTGGTTGTGCGTTCCTGTCTTTTCCACCTCTGACGGATCGCTGAGGTCCAGCCGATGCTGTTGAGGGCTCATTTAGTTTTACATGCATTTGAGTTGCCACGCCACGGCTATTGTACTGCTGTGCATGCTGGTGTCCGCTCAGGTGCACTTGTCCAGACGTCAGTGGCGAGGTTCTGGTCTGGTACTGGGAGGAGGGAGCTCATCAGTCATGTACCGGCCCACCTTCACTGGCTCCCAGTAGAGCATCGGGTTAAGTTTAAAACCCAGCTGGACGCGCCATCCCTCCAGTCTGGTTTAAAGACACTTTTACCAGCTGGCCTTTTCCCACGCCCCCCATGGGGGCCTCTACAGTTTCATGCCCCAAACATCTACAACTGTCCACGTTCTCCAAACACAACTAAAACCACGATCAAACAGCTCAGATGGGAACCAAGGCCATTTTAAATTAAGATACGGTGATATTTGAACTTTATTCTAGAAGAGCATCTGACCTTCTCTGGTGTCTGCTGGAACAAAAACCCTGAACAAATGTAGTCGAGGACCCCTGGAACAAATAAAACAACTGACTACATTTCCTAAAAGGAATTTGAACTCACAACCTCCCTCCTGTCAGCACGTTCACACCGGGCAGCTCCTCTAACATAAAGTTCAAGTATTATTTTATCTTAATGCGTCAAAAACCAAAAATCGCTTTGTTTACGATCTAAACTGGTGTGATGGTAGCTGTAGCCGAGCTCGGGGAACTCCGACCATCACCGACGCTTGGGACATGAAACTCCAACGCCCCCCCCCCCCCCCCCCCCCCCCCCCTCGATTGGGAGGCGCCAGGGCCCAAAGGGTTCAGTCACAAGTCAGTTTGGGTTTCATTGTGATTTTAATATTTAATTTAATTTTTTTGCATTTGTTTTTAAGTTCACTTTTATTACTTATTTAACTGTTTTATTGTCTGAGTGTTCTTTTATTCTTTTACTGTTTAGCTTCATGTTTTATTGTGAAAGCGTACCGCGCCGTGGGCTACGGAGGTACAGGAAGGTGCTGTAGAAATAAATATGATGGTGATGTTATCCGTCTGTCTTTCATAATAAACGCTGTACATTTTACTAAACACTGACACACTCGATCCTCATCAAAGGTCTAAAACACACATTCTGGTGGTCATTTGTTGCCCTCGACTCTTACGGTGAAACCAGTTTTCCTCTTTATTAACCACATTTTTTACTTTGATGTCATTTCCTGACACACACACATCACAGACTTTTACTGAAGAGTCGTAAAACTGGACTAAAACCAGCAAACGTGACGGATCAGGGCTGGCTTTAGGCAGAGGCATGACAGGAGGGTGAGGCGCCACCTTCTGGAGGAGTGCTGCCAGTCAACCTCGGCCTTGAGACATGATGAATATGGTTTTGCCCTTTGATGCCCTTACTTCATGCTCTACTTAAAAATATGAACAATAACATAACGTTTCATCTGTGGTGAAAGAATTCCTGTTGGGGTGTTGTGTGAAAAGACTTGGTCCATCATAAGAAATCAAACAAACCGTTTGATGGTTCTACAAGTCGTTTATTTCCCCTCAGCAGATAAGCAGTTTAAAGATACATTAGACAACAACAACAACAACAACAATAATAATAATAATTATTATTATTATTATTATTATTATAATAATAATTATTATTATTATTATTATCATTATTATTATTATTATACTCAGACCAATACACAAGCCTGCTGTCTACTCACGGGTTTAAATGCATGGTCTCTAGCATACAAGAATGCCTTTTGAGGGAAAAAAAGCTCTGGCGCTGCTGTTTCAGGAAGTAGAAGTGAGCCAAAGCGGAAGTGAGCAGAACAAAAAACGAAGAGCAAACTCCGCCTGGCGGACCTGAAGCCAACACAAAAGTGACAGAAACCGCAGTTCCCTCATCGTCCACTAGGGGCCGGCTTCAACACAGAGCAGGTTCCCACTGACTCCTATGTTAAAGGGACAATGTGTAGTTTATACCGTTAATTTCTGGAAATATCCATGAAAATGTTGTTGAAAAATATTGGCGACTTCATAACATAAAACCGTAAAAATCAGGTCTAAGTCTCTGGTTGACGTCGTATCAGATGCCATGTTTCCTTCTACGGGAGCCCGTGAGGACGTAATGCATTTATTGATTTGTAACAAACGGTTACAAACGTTCATAAATGTTGTTGTTTTACACATTTACCTCCTCACCTGTTGCCAGTGATGAAAGGGAGTCTGATGTGCTTGTAATTTTGCTAAAGTTTGCACTCCCCAGGGCTTTTTGACCCTAATGGGCATCCATTGGTAAGGTCTTATGCTTGCTGGCAACAATTTAGGGATCTACTGCCCCCATTGCCAGGAAAAATACACACCCCTCTCAAAGGCAGCGTCCTCTAGCACCACTAACTGCTCCATAGTTACCTGTTGCTCACCTGGTTCGTAGTTAACCCAAAAGCCGGTTCTGGTAGCTTGGCAGGGCTAGCCCTAACCCTGGCCATTCTAAAGGTGAGTAGTCTGGCCACGACCCAAAGACAGAGCTCAGTCGTGGGGCGGGATCTGCTGTTGTCTTTCAAACTGTCTCCACCTGTCATTGGACAACGGACAACGTGACGTACTCCCCGCTGCGGGTGTCAGTCAACGGGTCAGACCTCCGAACTCGAATACATAACGGACTCAAGTCCCTCCATCTGCTCTTGGCTCAAAGAAAAGCCCGAGTCTAAACAGTCCAAAGCTGTTTCAAACAAGCTGTCGCCGTCTTTGTTTTGCTCCGTCGCCGTAACGTCCCGCCCACCAAACCGGTCTGGGCTGCTGACGTTCCCGTGGAGCGTGGCTGCTGGACCAACCGCAGAGCACAGACAGTTTGCTTCTGCTCACGTCTGTCTGGATATCTGGGCTACGGTTTCAGAGATGCAAGCACTAAAGTGGGTTCAGCATGTTCCAAGGTGCTCACTAGAAGAAAGCTTCAAACAAAACCTCAGTTCTGGTTTATCTCTGTTCTCAGGTCATCACCCAGAAGTGTGGACGGAGTCCTCTTTGTCCTGTTGGATCGTCTCTTCAGAGGACTACCGGAAGGTCATACGTGTGCTGCATGTAGCAGTCTTCTAGCCTCCACTCAGAGCCTCTCGCTGTGGCGGGCTGGTGGACACAAACATCAAATCACAAATGCATGACAGTAAATTCTTGTTTGTTTCAGAAAAGCGACAAGCGGCTGCTCTTCAGCAGTCTGAACATGTGGAGTCAGCATGAAGCCCGAGGCTCTGGCGGGTGAGGAGGCTTCATATCCGGTCAGATTCCCTCCAGACCGATCCAGCTGAGGGAAGGAGAGGACAGGAGGGATCTGAGACCCAGAGCAGATGCTGGTCTGCAGCCCTAGGCACCGGCGCTGCAGACCCAAATGTCACACGGGAAATGTGTGCATGCTGCTGCGTCTCTAGTTCACCTCTCGTGGAATCACAGACGAGAGCATCTTCGATTCAGAAGCTGTTAGCGCTTCGATCCAGAAGCTGTTAGTGCTTCAATTCAGAAGCTGTTAGCGCTTCGCTTCAGAAGCTGTTAGCGCTTCGATTCAGAAGCTGTTAGTGCTTCGATTCAGAAGCTGTCAGCGCTTCGATTCAGAAGCTGTTAGCGCTTCGCTTCAGAAGCTGTTAGCGCTTCGATCCAGAAGCTGTCAGCGCTTCGATTCAGAAGCTGTCAGCGCTTCGCTTCAGAAGCTGTTAGCGCTTCGATCCAGAAGCTGTTGGTGCTTCGATTCAGAAGCTGTTAGTGCTTCGATTCAGAAGCTGTTAGCGCTTCGATTCAGAAGCTGTTAGCGCTTCGATTCAGAAGCTGTCAGCGCTTCGATTCAGAAGCTGTCAGCGCTTCGCTTCAGAAGCTGTTAGCGCTTCGATCCAGAAGCTGTTGGTGCTTCGATTCAGAAGCTGTTAGTGCTTCGATTCAGAAGCTGTTAGCGCTTCGATTCAGAAGCTGTTAGCGCTTCGATTCAGAAGCTGTCAGCGCTTCGATTCAGAAGCTGTCAGCGCTTGGATTCAGAAGCTGTTAGCGCTTCGATTCAGAAGCTGTTAGCGAATCGATTCAGAAGCTGTTAGTGCTTCGATTCAGAAGCTGTTAGCGCTTCGCTTCAAAAGCTGTTAGCGCTTCGATTCAGAAGCTGTTAGCGCTTCGCTTCAAAAGCTGTTAGCTCTTCGATTCAGAAGCTGTAAGCGCTTCGCTTCAGAAGCTGTTAGCTCTTCAATTCAGAAGCTGTTAGCACTTCGCTTCAGAAGCTGTTAGCGCTTCGCTTCAGAAGCTGTTAGCACTTTGATTTGAGCTTCCCTCCTAACGTCTTCATAATCCTCCAGGTTCAACTAAAAGAACACGATGTTCTCCACCTTCCTCTCAGACTCTGTTGTACAAAACCTGTATACACTGCTTTTGTTACGCGTTTTTACTTTCTAAATGTAAATGTATTAAATGTTGTTTGTAACTAATTTTCCCTTCATCTGGAAGTTTTTGGACGTTTTTAATGTTTAAGCATCATTCGTGCAACAGAAGGTAGGTTTAGAGAGCAGGGAGCTAATTGGTTGACCTTTGATGCTAATGTAATTTAGACGCTTTCCTTCATGGAGTATGGACGAGCAGAGGATTAGCAGGAAGCAGGCTTAGAGATGCAGAAAGAGAGGAAATGAAAGCCAGAGGGGGGAAGACAACAGCTGAGTGACATGTGGAGGTCTGAATGAAGCCTGACTCGAGAAGTTCAAGTCAACAAAAACTTCTTAAACCACAGCGAGTGGAGGCTGTGAGGCTTTAGGGTGTGAGGAGATGAAATGTCTTCCTCTGATGAGCGCGTTATTGTGACTAAAGTCATCAGATTCAAAAGCTGCTGTGTGGATTATAGCTTAAACACATCTGATGACATTCTTTGACCTTGGGTGACTGACAGCCATTGAAAACGTCCAGACATGTACACAGAGCAGCCTGTAGGTGGCAGCGTTGGGTCAGGACTTGTTGGTCTGCAGATAAACACGTTTGTGGGTTTCTACCAGCTTCAGTCGGGTAACTTTGGACCGGCTTGGAGCCACAAATATTCATGTTTAAGACCCGTGTGAATCATGGAAAATCATTCCAACGTTTCGGTCTACTTTCCCAAAACGATGAAAGTGCAAAAAGTCTGTCAGCCTCTCCAGTGTTGGACGTTTCTCTGGAGATGTGTAGAATCTAACCTCAGTCACCGTTAGCGTTGATTAGCCAAAAATTTCAATTCTGTAACCAAAAGGCTAATGAGCTCAAGCTCCCCTGGATCCATGGGGGGGGGGGGGTGTCTCACAAACGGGCTCAACTGGCGCATCATCCTTGATATAGTTACAGTTACAGATACAGCAAATGAAAGTAGACACAGAAGCTAAGGACCTTCTGGTTTTAGGGTCAGGTCCGTTTCAGAAGCAGAACGACTGACAGCCGGTGTCGGTGCAGGATCGGCTCGGGTGCAGGATCGGCTCGGGGTCCTTCGACTGCTGATGACGTCAAAGTAGTTGATTGGCTGAACATGAAGCTTACGGAAGTGACGTTATCACGTTATGATTTTGATTGGTCAGAACAAAGATGCGGTCGTAGTCTTAGCGGTTGTAGTCCTGTAGTCCAGAAATCAACACTTACTGGAGAAAATTTGTTTGAATTTCTAAAGGAAATGTAAAATAAAAGCAAATGATAAACGGTGACCCTCAAAAGCTCTCAATGGTGATGAAATGGGGCAAAATTAAAAATAAGAACTTTATTGAAATACACCAAGCAACATTTAGAGTCAAAGAATGTATTTAGATAACAACTAAGGAAATATACAGACGAACTCCACATTAATATAGACAGATGTGGCTTCACATATAAGAACTGTTCTGTTGTTGTCAGTCCGATGTTGGTTTTGTGCAGTTTCACATTCTTTACAAAACAAAGATAATTTGGTGTTTTATTAACAAATTACAATTATAAAGAGAACATTTAGGTGTTAACAAACAAGAATTTATTAACAAAGCTGCTGATGTCCTTCCAAAACGTGTGTGTGAAAGCCGAGTAGATGTGCAGTCATGTGACGTCATCGGCAGTCGAAGGACCCCGAGCCGATCCTGCACCGACACCGGGATGTCTGGCGGCTGACGACGGGGCTGTTGCACTGCATCATGGGAGTTCTGTCACTGCAGGAAAACGCCTGAAGTCTCAGACGTAACTGACCTTAAGTCTGAGAACCTTGGTTGGAAAATTTGGATGCCTTCAAGATTTTTGAACGTATTAAAGGTTGAATATGGAGCACGGACAGTCTGGCGAGCTCTGGTGTTCGTAGGTGGTACTGCAGCAACAGGACTAATAGCCGCTGGGGTGTTGGTTCACCGCCGACACGTTCCAGCACCGTTCCTTCTACAACAGTTATTACCGTTAGAACGTCTTCTGGGCTCAGAATCAGCTGCTTGACTTTCACACGGTTCCAGCCTCGCCTTGCTGAGCGGACGTTTTAGCACACCGCTGCCCTCTAGTGGCTGGTAGATGTAAATATAAACAGCATTGTGCCCGACAGAATCAAATTTTGATCATTTATCTTTTTAAACGCAGCTTTTGAAGAAGAACCTGCACATCCACTCTGCACACCTCTGAACGTAGAGGTATTTTTTTTAATACAACTTTTTATTAAAATGTTTCATATTCTAACTTTAAATGGAATTAAAATAAGTTTTCTGACTTGTCCGACCCCACAGAAGCCCTGCGTCTGCCTCCTAACTTCAGGTTACTGCCACTAAAGTTAATTTCATGGTTGATGGTTCCTCTGTTCTGTAAGGTAGCTCTTACTTATTGTCCTGACATGTGAAGGCTGCCGATAAAACTCCTGAATGAGGAACCCTCGTCTCAAAAATCCACAGTTTTGTCCCTTTTCCAACCTTCTTGTCTGAACTTGGCTTTGGGTCGCCGCCCCTCCACGCCTCTTCACCAACCCCGACTGCCAGTGACACACATGTGCTTCCCTCTCACATGTTTTATCTCCTCCTCCTCCTCCTCCCCTCCCACCAACTCACTCTCGTCCTCCTCTCACTCTCTCTTTCTGTTGGTGGCTCCAAAGGCATCCAGAGGACAGGGACAAGGCAGAAGACCCTTCACACACCACCGTTCCACCACCCCACAGTCATGTCCGACTCCGAGACCACTGCTGCCCCCGCCGAGGCCCCCGTCCCCGCAGCTTGTGCCAACATCAAGGCAGATCTGGACAAATGGTAGGTGACTCCATCCACAGCACAAGAAGGTTTCGTGGTTTAAAACTAATCTCACAACTTCTCGAGTTGTCTTCATAGACTTGGGCAGCTGGAGATGAAGGAGGACCCGAGAAAAATCCCGAATAGTTTGCGAATGCCTTGAGAGACCCTTTAGAGATGTTTGGCTCCTGTGCTGGAGGAGAGCCTCCTGAGTTAGGAGAACACTGCTGAAGGATTTGGGTTCTTGAACATGTGGGACAGGTTGGTTGTTGGCAGGCATCGACATCCTAAAATGCACGGCGATAAAAATGGAGTCTGACCAGCGGACGCCATGGTCCTTGTTGCAAACCACCGCGGTCTCACGCTGAGACGTGACACGACTCGACATCTCAGCTGGGAGGTGAAAAAGGTTATGAAAGCCCGGGTTAACGTGTGTGGGGGAGGGATTTGGAGGTTAACGATGTGCAGCAACGAAGCATGTTTGATGCTCGTCTGTCCGCATGGATGAAGACCGGGAATCTGCTTACGTCACTCACCTCCCTTTCCCCACAATACTTTGCGGTAGCCTGATGTGTTTGTCCCTGATGCCGCAGCCTCCCCCCATTGGTCAGAGACACCAGCAACGGGACTCTCAACCTACGGCTGCTTGTCTTTGACTTTTATTGTTTCTGACCAGGTCACCTAGGACTCCTCGCATTCAGAGGTAAAGCTGCTTTGGTGTTTCTGTCTGTAGACACATGCTGCCTGGCCTGGCTGATGGGCGGTGATAACGAGGCTGTGAGGGTGTGGAGCCTCTAGATAAGGCAGAAAGCTGAAATGAAAAAGAGGATGGGCGTGGATGATCGACTAATAAAATGACCCGAACAGACCTGTGGCACTGACCGTCTCCACTTCATGGTTGTGGTAACTTGTGAAGGCGACGCTGCAGATGCTGAAGCTTATGTAACATAAGTAGGTCTGTACTCCAAATCCCGTCCAGGGATTGCACCTCAGGATGTTTTATTGCACAACACCAGCTGATACTGCAGCGGTGTGAGAGTTTTAGTTGCATGCGGCTTGGTTAGGGGTGTGTTAGAGCTCGTATCAGCTGAACTGTAACCCGTGTGTGTGTGTGTGTGTGTGTGTGTGTGTGTGTGTGTGTGTGTGTGTGTGTGTGTGTGTGTGTGTGTGTGTGTGTGTGTGTGTGTTAGGGATGCAACGATACCCCTTTTTTCCAAACCGATACGATACCGATACTTGGATCGGAGTACTCGCCGATACCGATTACCGATACCGATACTTCTACCACACAAAAAAATGCAACCGATGTATTTTCTTCTCTGATTTCAGCAGGAAAAGACTGTGAGGTCGATAAAAAGTAAAATATATGAATCAAAATCATCACAAAACTAAAATATTAGGTGAACAGAAATGAAGTACAGTGAAGCCATTTTCAAGCAACTGCATTGGTATCGGTATCGGCACTGATACCGGTACCAGTAACGTGTTGGTGCATCCCTAGTGTGTGTGTTAGAGTTGGACGATGCAGAAATAAAGCCTGTAACTTTAATGTTTTTCATAAAGGACAGTATCAGCATGAAGCAAATCACCATTTTTTATTGTTCTCTGGTAATTTTAATAATAATAATAATACATTTTATTTCAACAGCGCCTTTCTGAACATTCAAGGACACTTTACAGAGATAAAATTTTGACATTTGAAGATATCAGAAAATTATTTCTGATTTCAAAATTAATTTTCAAAAGCTGAACCTGTCAAAAAAACTTGATCCGATCGTGTTTCTGTGCCGTCAGCAGCGGGCTCGTCCAACACTGACGAGCTTTTCTAAAAACGTCCGCCTTGAAAATGGAATTTTAATGTTTCCTGAGAACAAACCCGCTTCTCCTCCTCCGTCAGCCATCGCTGGCATAAAACAAACAAAAATATAGTAATAATGTTCGCAGGTAGCTACGGATGAACAAGTCAAGGTGGTGATAGCTTAGCTCTGACCATCCAATCAGAGGACAGAAAACCCCGGAGCTTGCTGGCCATGTGAGGCATATCTGGAAGCTGATTGGTTAGGAAAAAGCCTCCTGCTACCTAGTATAACCAATGAAGGCCCTCCTGGCACACCGAGGCTAGAATCTGAATTAACGAAACACAAAAACTCCACAGACATTCGGGACGTGGCTCAGCAAACGTTCCCAAGAAGAAAAGAAAACCCGTTGGAAGCAAATGAATGTGAGCAAGCCTAAACACGGGAATGTAGAGTCTGTCCACGACCCACAGACAGAGCTCAGCGGATCTACGCCTGTCTTTCAACTGTCTCCACATGCAGGACGATAGACAACATGACAGACTCACTGCTCCAGATGTCATCCAACAGGGAAGTCCTCCACACTCTGCTGAAGAAGACAACTACATCCTTTTTCTAAATAACCGACTCAGGTGTCTCTATCTGCTCGTGAATCAGAGAAAAGCCCAACGACAGACCTGCTAAGGCTCCCGTGGAGCGTTGCTAGAGATCTGCAGATCTTTCTAACAGCTGGTGATCCTGGTAGTGTTTGGTTTTCAGTGTTTTACTGTCCAGCACTTTGAGCCACTGAGACCAGCGGTGGTAACGCGCTTCATAAACGAAGTGAACGTTTAGACCAGCAAAGAAGGGCTCGTGAGTGAGTGAGTGAGTGAGTGAGTGAGTGAGTGAGTGAGTGAGTGAGTGAGTGAGTGAGTGAGTGAGTGAGTCTGGCATTCATTCCGATCCGGATTTCCCAGTACATCCTGTTCCTGCTCCGACATTCTTTGTTGTTTCCTCTCACCCGACTAGCACATTAGCAGCAGCTTGGGCTAGCGTTAGCAGCAGCTTGGGCTAGCGTTAGCAGTAGCTTGGGTTAGCGTTAGCAGTAGCTCTGTGTTAGCATTGCTGCGACCAATGATTATATGTTTCTGATGTTTTCATTACACTTAATCTCTGTCCACATCTGTCCACCCCTTCCCTTAAACTCAGCCCAGCCACACGCCTCGCTGTGTGACACGGACAGCGGACATGTGCGTGTATTTATAGCTGTCAGAAGTCACGGACACGGTGACATGTTCCCTGTCGTGGATCATGTCACCGTCCCACCTGCTCCTTTTAACCCAAACCTGAACCACCATGTTGGAGTTAGGCACCTCTACGGGACACTGAGCACCTCCCCACATGTTCTCTGAGTGCAGACTGTTATTAGGGACTTTTATTTTTATTTTTACTAAATATTTTGTGCCTTAGTTTTTTTTTTCAACCAATAATTTCATCAAAGTTTAACGAGCAAAGTGGAAGAAGCTTCCAGTGTCTTTGGTGCTCACAAGCAGCTGGGATGGTTTTGACAGGAGAGTTAGTAAAATGTCATGAAGGGGTTCCCGGTTTCCTCGGGTGAATTTCAGAGCCTGCTCTCATGTTTCTGGTACACGTTTAAAAAAAATTCCTCCAAAAATAGTCCCAGGGTTGTCTCAGACATTCAGAGCCGGCCGTCTGCATCAGGGAGCCGCTGGGGTTTGACCATGGAGTCCCATGTAGAAAAGCCCAGTTCGAGCCGGACTCAGATGGTACCCATCCTGCTCGGCTTTAGCCTGATGGGTTTGAGCTCACACGCTAACGTTCTCATTGCAGAGAAGCTCCAGATGTAGTGATTTAAACTCTCCCAGAGGTACGCAGTAGCTCATAGGATGACTCGTTTGGATTTGATTCAGAATGTCAGCTGGTTTAATAAAAATCTGAAAGTCTGCTGATGACACAAAGCTGTTCATGCATGCCTGAAGAAAAAGGGGCGGGACTCCATTAAGTAACCTAATTAACTAAAGGCTTTGTGATTCATTCATCTCGAGCAATCACATTTTTATCGTCCAAGAAAATTTGCCATCCATCCGTTTTCTTCTGCTTCTCCGGGGTCGGGTCCTGACCAGATGCCCAAGCCTGGCCTCAACTGGCTCCTCTGGATGTGGAGGAGCAGCGGGTCTACTCCGAGCCCCTCCCGGATGACCGAGCTTCTCACCCTATCTCTGAAGGAGAGCCCAGCCACTCTTCGGAGAAAACTCATTTCAGCCGCTCGTGTCCGTGATCTCGTTCTTTCGGTCACTACCCAAAGCTCGTGACCATAGGTGAGGGTAGGAACGTAGATCCACCGGTAAATCCAGAGCTTCTCCTTCTGACTCAGCTCTCTCTTCACCACGACAGACCGGTACAAAACTGTATTTCAATTCAAAACAGGACAAAAATCCTTATCAACAGATATTGATAACAGATCAACACATCGATGTAAAAAGTGCTGCAGCAGCACAGAGATCTCTGAAAATCTTCCGTCTACGGACTTTTTCCAGACGTTTAGATTTTATTTTACAAAATAAGCGACGAGGCTGACGTGTTTTTTAAGCACTGTATCAGTCCCAGCCTCGTTTTAGTAGCCATTAGCAGAGCAGGGCTTTGGCGTGTGCGTCAGTAAAACCGGTGTACCAGGAAATTGTGCACTGACAAAGGTTCCACCTTGCTTGAAATGCAGGTTGTAATTAAATGCATACATTTTTCTAATTAATTCATCATAATTAACCCTTTAAATTACCACCTCTACCGTTAAAGCTAATGATGAGTCAGCACTCTGTCCATTTCTTCAGGATCTCTGCATCATCCTCAGTGTGGGATCGGTGGTCCTGTTAGCCGTAGCACAAGTAAACGCCTCTTTGAGGGACTGATCTACTGACTGATGATTGACACTCAGGTTTTGTTGATTTACTGGAGATAATATCCCACCTCCGAGTTTTTATGCATCTGGTTGGACATGCATACATAGCGTGGGCTCCAGCTCTGCACGAATCCCCATCTCCGAGGAGATTTGGTGGTGGAATCCATCCTCGCCTCTCAGCGGGTGATGACTGTGCAGGGCTCGGTAACCTGAGAGCTGAGCTCCTGCTGGAACGGCACCAGCCCCTTTGATTCAAGCTCTCGCCTTCACAGGAATGTTACCAGAGACAAGTCCCTTTGGTTGATCCATTTTTTATTGACACAAATAAAAATGTTTTACTGTCTTTTGGTATTAAAATAACAAAATAAAATTGGCCCTTGCCTGCTGCAGATCCTCTGTAGACGAGCATACGGCAGGCTTCTGATGAAGGTACTAAACTGGTAAATGGCCTGTTTTTCTATAGCATCTATTACCCCCCAAGGCGCATTACAACATTCATTCATTCATTGACATGCTGATGGTGATGAGCTACAGTGTAGCCACAGCTGCCCTGGGGTTCACTGACAGAGGTGAGAGTGCTGAGCGCAGGCACCACCCATCCCTCCGACCACCACCAGCAGGCAGGGAGGGTGATGTGCCTTGCCCAAGGACACAACTGTGACAGACTGAGCGGGGAGTGAAACCAGAAATCCTCAGGTTACGGGGCAAGCACTTAACTCCTCCGCCACCGTACTAGGCTTGGTCATCCATCCGGATGCTACGTTCCAAAATTATTACCGTCGTGTCTGGATTAGGTCCATCACAGCCATGATGCTAAGAGTTAGCTTTAACGCTGTACTGATGAGCTAATGGTGCCGCTCTAGAACAAAGTGAGTTGTTGCCATCGTAAATCTACCTAAGCTGTTGACGGTGGCTCATCCAGTATTATTAAATAACCTTTAAACTGCTCTTAGTTTGCTTTTGCAAGGATTCACGTGTTTTTTTCTACAACCAGTCGCTACATTTAGCACCTGTGGTTTGAGTCTGGACAGAGTTGTCTCAGACTAGCTGTTAGCTCATCAATCCTAGAAAGAAACTCAGGGTTTGGGCTGCGTGTGTATAACTCAGATGGCACATGAAGGCACTGGTCAGAAAGATGGGAATCAGCGTCTCAGAAGAACCACGGGAGACCTCCTGCTGTGGGCGGCAGCCTCTACATCACGTAGGCACCTCTGGACCTTCCCTGAGTGCCGTATTGGTGTTTTTCCCCAGGACTGACCACACCTAGCTCACTTTAGAGGGTGGCGTCACGCTTTAATCCAGGGAATCGGGATTAGCAGACGTCAGAAAGCAGAAAAAAAACCTGAATTTGACTGAGATGTGTTTGTTGCATGTTTCCATGGCAACTCGGCTCTGCCCCTTGACCTTGTAACACGATCGCCCTCTGAGTAGTTTTCCTCGAGAGATCACACTATGATCTCATCAGCTTTGTACTCGCTGCCCTGCTGTGATGCCGCTGTAATCTCTACCTGCATTAGGTCAACCCACTTGAAGAAGGTTCATGGTGGATTTCAAAATAAAAGCTTGTTAAAGGCTGAAAATGTGGCAGCCTTTATTTTGATAGAGAACATAATGTTCCTATTGTGGATTTAGATTAAGAGGTGTGTGTGTGTGTGTGTGTGTGTGTGTGTGTGTGTGTGTGTGTGTGTGTGTGTGTGTGTGTGTGTGTGTGTGTGTGTGATCGACGTACATATATGGACATTAGGTTTCCATAGGCTCCAATAACACATCTTTGAGGCTAAACGGGAGGTGGCCACCACCGCCATTTTGACCGTGTCACAGGTTCCATCAAGCCCAGACAATTCCATAAAAGGGAAGAGAGGTGGAGCTGAGGGTGGGGCTGTAAGGCTGGGATCAACTGACGACACCCGGTTGAACTAGCTACAAGCTAACCCAAAGCTAACGCGGAGGTGGGAGCTAAGCTAACGGAGGTAGCAACCTAGCTACAACCGGAGTTAACGGTGCACAACACCAGAGCTTCTGAGTCAGAGATACACCGGGCTGACCGCTGGGTAAAACCGGGTGGAACACAGAGGTCTCCGAGAGCTCCACCAGCCGATAGTGGGAACCCAGCTCCACCAACATGTTATATTTCAACCCATTTTCTAAAGTGCAGCATTATGTTAAATGCACTGGGTTTTACCCTATTACATTTACATTTCATGGTTAAACAGTACATGTTAAAATCTAAGCTCAGCTCGGCAGTGACCTAAAATACATAAATATAATTTTACTTACCGAAAAAAATGAAGTGGAGACTCCTTGGACGCTCTATTAGTGCAATTAATGCCACAGCAAGTCATTTTGTCCAACAATTGCACAAAAAATATCCAAAACAGAATACACACACACAGAGACTCAAAATCCCGGAACAGTTTCCAGGCCAGACCGAGGCTCTACTGAGGCCTTTCCCCGGAGCTAGCTCTGTGGTCACGTGGGTCTGATGCTCATTAATTATACAGAATTTTAGGCTTTTAATACACTTAAACAGAAGAGTGAGAAAAACATTCACCCCCCTCAGAGGTGTCATGAGTGTAAACTAGATCATTTAAACCAAAAACATGTTCTGGTACCAGGCTGTAAACATGTTTATTTCTGCTGTGAAATTGGTATTTTTAACATGGGAGTCAACGAGGATTTGCTCGCTTCTGACACCAGCCCCTAGTGGACGAGGGTGGAACTGCAATTTTTGGTACTTGCGGGTTGAGACCAATTTCTCAGCCGCATTGTGGGGGCCTGGTGTGTGTGTGTGTGTGTGTGTGTGTGTGTGTGTGTGTGTGTGTGTGTGTGTGTGTGTGTGTGTGTGTGTGTGTGTTTGTGTGCGTGTGTGTGTGTGTGTGTGCGTGTGTGTGTGTGTGTGTGTTTGTGTGCGTGTGTGTGTGTGTGTGTGTGTGTGTGTGTGTGTGTGTGTGTGTGTGTGTGTGTGTGTGTGTGTGTGTGTGTGTGTGTGTGTTTGTGTGCGTGTGTGTGTGTGTGTGTGTGTGTGTGTGTGTGTGTGTGTGTGTGTGTGTGTGTGTGTGTGTGTGTGTGTGATCAGAACTTTAGTTGTAAATAAATATTACACATTTAATACATAAGTATTGCAGATGAGGCAAAAGGTTGGGATATTCTTTCACTTCCTTATATGGAGTGACAGGAAGTGACTCAGCTGATCTTGAAAGGGTGAAGACAACAGATGAAGCAAAAGGAGGAGTCAGAAAATGAGTTTACAACCATGAAACATGACCCCCCCCCCCCCCACACACACACACACACACACCCCACACACACACACAGATGGGTCCATCCCTCCTCCCTCTCTTTGCTCCACCACCCTAACCTCCGTGGCTGCTGCGTTTGCTCCTGAATGGGAGCCTGAACATGACTTTCCTCTTGTTCCTGCTCATCTTTGCGTTGAAACGTGATGCAGCTTGCGTTTTGTTCCTGCCTTCTAAATCTAACCCGTTATCACAATTTCCCTACATAATCTGTGGGATTAGGCCTCAGATCCTGAATAATCCTGGAATATTCTGAGTTGTGGGTTTGCATCTTTCTTTCAGCGTTGCAGAGAAGGGAGCTGACGGCTGCAAAGACCTGATGGAGGCCTTTGCTGCGTGTGTGAAGAGTGCCGCTGAAGGGACCTCATGAGGAGTCGTCCGCCAGCCTAAAATGTGAGGAAGTTTCTCTCAGAGGACACTGACAGGGATTTGTTTGATTTTCTCCTAAATGTTTCACAACGATAACCTGAGTAAATACAGAATGTAGTTTTCAAACCAGGATCTTATTTATTAAGTGAAAACTTTTTCCAAACCAACCAGACTTAATGTGGAGAAACGTTGTGGGAATGATTCTGCTGAGTTTAGAAACGACAATTTTAAAGCAGCATGAATGATTTTTATTTTCCTCCAATCCGCTTCATCCGCAACTCCGATGTCATTTCTACTGAATCACAACCAGCCAGCGTAAATTTACCACATGTCCTGCCCGGCGTAGGATCTGCCCCAGCTCCGGTAGTCCGTTGGTCCCTGTAACGGACCAGACAGAGCCGTGTCCAGGACTTTTAAAATGGGGTGGCCCATGTGGGGCACTTTTTATGCATGGGTGGCACCAATGGTTATGCTCATTTATTTATTTACACAATTCGTTTATTTATTTACTTTCTAGTGAATTTTGGAGTTTCACATTGCACAATCACCATTTTTTTTCTATTCATCTTCTAATTTTGTGGTGGTTAGCAAGTCACTTCTTGTTGCATTATTGCCACCAACTGGAGTTGAGTGGTACTCAATACTATTTATGTGAATATGAAACATAATAAATAATATTAATACTACAGAAATGTTCTGTATGCCTGGGCTAGAAGACAATGTTAAAGGTGCATGCTACCACACACTATTTTTGGAGTTTACAACTCAAGCCTTTTGTCGACAGCGTAAAGTCAATTTAAACTGGAACTTAGCGGGGTGGCCAATCAGATTCTAAGGGTGGCATGTGCTACCCCAGGCCACTCCCTGGACACGCCCCTGGGACCAGAAAATGGTCCTTTAATAAGAATACTAATAAACTTTATTTATTTAGCACAATTCATACAGGAAACACGACTCAAAGTGCTTTACAAATTAAAATGACCCCACATTCCCACATTCCCTACCATCCCCAGGAATGTTAAAGCATTTTAACAGCAATACCCCCTCGTTACACTCATGTTCTGACACACACACACACACACACACACACACACACACACACACACACACAGATAGAAAATAAAACACTGGGCTGAGTTCAGATGAGGCAGAAAAGCGAAGTTAAGGAACGCCATTAGGGGAGCCATCTGCCCCGGCAGCGGCAGATCCACAGCAGCAGCCGAGGCTCAGTGAAGCGGGGACACGCCATGAAGTTCTGGTAAAATTACCCCGAGGTGTTGATAGCGGAAACGGCTCTAATGTATTTTTCTAAAAGAACCCAGAACAACAGCTAAAGTGCTGCAGGCGTCAGTAGTTTGAGTCAAAAACGGTGTCCACAGGTGAGATTCACGACCAAAACCTCTGCTTATCAAATTTAATATTCCTAACAGGCGTCTTCTGTTCTGGGTAAACATTCTGTGGTTAGACGAGACAGAAGCAGAACTTTCTGGAAGGTGTGCATCCTGTTCCATCTGGAGTCTAACACCAAAAGGTCATAGCAACAGTCAGACATGGTGGTGGTAGTATGATGATCAGTGGTGTTTTGTCGCTTTGGGCGATGGCATTGGGATCCTGCAGGACCCAACGCGAGCAGCTAAGCAGGTTTGGAATTTGCTAAAAGATGGAGAATGCACCTGAGGTGGCCGACAACATCACAGCTGGAGAATGTGAAAGTAAACAACAGAAAGAAAATAAATATTTGGGAACAACCAAGGTGTGCCTTAACTGAACCGTGAAGGTTTGTTAAATGCCTCCAGTTGGTTGCTATGGGATCATTTTTAAAGTGCTGTTGAAACCATTTAATACAGTCAGTGTATGGTCTCTAGCTAATGACATAGTCTAGATTATATTTACTAAACGTTTTAGTAGACCACTGGAATCACACAGACCGAGTCCAGGAGACGCTCAGATGTCTTCTTCAGGAGAACAAAAACCTGCGCCGTCCTGTCTGTTGGTTCTAAAACAAGCCTGAGGCATCAAAGTCCACCTAGGTCGACTCAGGGCTGGATTCCTGGCATGGTTTCATCCCAGCAGGAATCACTAAGCAGTCCGTCGGAGGAAAGGTGGGCGATCAAGGAAGACCATCACTTAACTTCTCTGGTTATTCACCAGCACAAACCTCGGCGATCTCTTCTGGTATGAATGAAGTTAGTGTGCGTTCGGTTGATTGGGTTTTATTATTGTTGTGACACTTCTTGGCAAATAACCTTTAGTCAGCGGAAAGTCAGATCCGTCACGTTTCCTAGGACAAGTAGGGAATGTGAAGCAATAGAAGGAGCAACGTAGCTGAATGTGGGCATAGAACCTCCCGTGTGGTTTTAATCCAGATTACGCATTTGTACAGATCAAATGGGTTTGATCACTCCTAGAACTTTTCACCTGTCTTTCTTGCCATCCTTTCTGTCTTTCAGGTCCAATGCACTGAGTCCTCCAAGCTCCCAGCATTCCCTTGTGCACAACAGCACTGGCCTGGATGACAACAAAAAGGTGGCGGTGATAGCGGGACAGGCGTTGTGTTGACCTGTTTGGGATCTGGCTTTTCCCTGTTTGTTCCGTGTTTTAGGATTTTCTGATGTCACTCATCCCTCTCATCCATAGTTCATAGACAGTTCTGAGGAGACAGTGGGCTGCGATGTACCTGTCGACTTGAGATAATACTTACAAATGAAATAAAGTATAAAATGATTTGGTTTGAACCAGTTTGATGAGTCCAGCTTTTAAGTTCAACATGAAAAATAGTATAAAGGTTCTTAAAACTGTGTGACGTGAACCTGTGTGAACCTATGGGTGGATGGATGGATGGGTGGATGGATGGATGGATGGATGGATGGATGGATGGATGGGTGGTTGCTTGGATGATGGGTAGATGGATGGATGGATGGATGGATGGATGGATGATGGGTAGATGGATGGATGGATGGATGGATGGATGGATGGATGGGTTGGTGATTGGATGGATGGATGGATGGATGGATGGATGGATGGATGGATGGATGGATGATGGGTGGATGGATGGATGGATGGATGGATGGATGGATGATGGGTGGATGAATGGATGGATGGATGGATGGATGGATGATGGGTGGAAGGATGAATTAGGATTTTTGTAAATCTTTCGAAACTATTTTCTGAGATCTGATTGGTGGGCTGATCTGCGTCACTCCACCATCTAGTTTTTTAAGTCTTTTGCAGTAAAATGCGTTCATATCTGACATATAAAAATAAATAAATGATGGAAAAACTACAGCAAACAGGACTGAGTCACCTCCCAGACTTCCTCCTTTACCATATTTGGGCTTCCAGAACATGGATATAATACAACAGCACCACCTTGTGGTTGGAATGCGAGTCCACATCAGTGTTTGTGTTCAGCATCCTCTGATCCATGATAGCTAACACTGAAAAAGGTTTCATTTGTTGAAAACTGATGGACTCAAATAAATAAACTTTAAGTCGTTTTATATCATTTCTGTGTTTCAGGATGTAATGAATTCAAACTGATGACAACATTAATATTTACCTCCATATAAATTAGATTTTACTCGGATATTGCTTGTTTTTATTTTTAGTCTGATCAGTTTTATCACTGACTTGATTTTCATTCAATTCTTAAATATTTGTTTTATAATTTTTTATTGTAAATTTTGGACACTGATTTCCATCTTCTGGTAAAGAAATCTTCAGGTGTTCTAGGTTGCTGCTGCACTTTAAGCACCTGCTGCTAAAATAGGTTGCACCTTTGTGCAAGATTGTGAACCAGGCAGTGGCGCCCCCAAGGTGTAGCCAGAGGGGGGTCCATGGCCACCCCTGGAATTTAGTTGGCTTTCCCACCAGCCCCGCAGCGAAGACCACCTCTCGTAATAAATCCCATTCACCACTGTAATGGATGTTAAAGAGAGAATTACAATTTAATTAATGACCAGAGACATTAAAGGTCCATATCTAGCATGGACCCCATCTCTGGACACTGGGCTATTTAAATCAGAAGAGTGGTTCTTTTTATTACAGGGAAATTTAAATTAAACACTTTGCATGAACTGAGAGACAAGAGAAGAGAGAGAGACCTCAGAACGTTTAGTAAAATTTATTATCTAAATGATTTTAAACAGTTTAACAGGACTAACTCTCTAGTGATGGATGCTGATGGAATGAATGTGAGGTGGAGTGTGTGTTGGTGCGATGTCAGTTCAGAACCTACGTTCTGGAGAAGCGAGTCTGAGCGGGAGATGATGTTTTGCTCCTAACTGATCAACTTTTGAACCGTGGTCATAAAACACATGAGACGCCATTTGTCGCATCCACATACCCGTCAGTGAGACTCCCGTACAGATCAGGCAGCCAGGTCCACGACCCTCCTCTGGTACTGGAGCCGATGAAACAGCGTCCTCAGCACGACAAACCAGTCCTTGGATAGTCTCCAGGTAAAAAGCGGCAGGTGTTTCATAGTGTCAAACAGGACCCTCCTTTGGGTCAGCCAGTTCAGCTTTTATTCTGAAGGAACCGTTGTTTTGTTGAAAACAACGACAGGATTTCCCAGCTTGATTGTTCTAGCTTAAAAGTAAAAAGTACAGATGGCCGGTCCGTACTCCACTTAGCAATGATGAACATCAGAGGATCTTAAGAGCTGGCTGAATACTGCCCTCAAAATGGCGTTCTGTTTTATTAATCTTGATGTTTATGATTCTGGACGAATCACAGCTGACAGATTAAATAAACACCACAGAGACTCTGCCACGCTTCACACATGAAGGTTCTGATTGGATTTGCGACCGGAATGTGTCATGTGATTATTTGTCTTTATTGTATCAGCGTGTCTAGTGGCTAGAATACGTCATTTCCTTATTAAACATTAATCATAACATTGTGATTTCACAGATCAATCACATGGTTATTAACCGAGAGGTTGCCGAAGGCATTCTTCACCACATATTCATCTTCTTTGATCAAGACATAAGCTAATAATCAATATATTTTCATTAAACATTTTATACATTATATCTAATCAAAATGTAAAACTATAAAAAACAGATAAATCCAATTAGTTGTGATTTTTTTTGCCGAAATGTTTCTGCTTCTCACATTTGAAGTTCAGGTGTTGGATGCAGGCATTTAGTGTGTAATGAAAAAGGATGAAGGAGCAAAGCAAAGCTACAAGCTAACCGCTCCCAGACTTACCACAGGGACCAATTTGGTGCCACCCCAACATTCTCACTGGCCCCTCCTATCAAGTTCTCTGGGGCCGCCACTGGTGCTGCTGTGGGAGAGAGAGCAGCAGTAACAGGTAGAGATGACTACTGATCAACAACTGGAGTGCATCAGGGATCGCCGCTCTCTCCTCATGAGCGTGGGGCCGGAGGCGAGGGGAGTCCATGGGACTGAACCAGAGCAACGGACATCTGAGTGGCGTGTGCTTTGTGTCATGGTGCAGTAGACTGGAGTGGACCCAAATGCTGCTGAGCACAAACGGGGGTCAGACTGGCAGGTAAAAGAACTGTTTAACATGTATAATGGGAGGTAGGATGACACAACGGGTAGACAAGGCAAAGATCTGACAAGGACAAGCACACAGATGGTTTAGATAAAGGAGGGTGATCAGCAGTCAGCTGGAAAGTGGCAGGTGAGTCCAATAAGCCTTCAACGAGGGGAGAAGGGAGTTGGAGCAGATCCTGACGTTGTGGCCCTGGTGTAGCTGGTGGACACGGTCAACGATGGACACTAATGTTGTCTGCAGCTTTCTAAGGAACCGCTAGACAGACTTGGGTCAAACCCCCAGAATGGAATAGAAATCTTTAACTAGTAGTATAGCTGAGACTTGGTCACAACCCCAAGTCTGATGCTACATGAGATCATGTGACCTGCACCAGAGGCGTGGTTAGCAAAGATAAAAATATGTTTATCTGACAACAAGTGATTAAAAACCATAGATGAGAATGTATTCACTAAATAACAGCCAAAATTATCAGTTGGTTTTAAAAGGAGGCGAGGCTAAACTAGAGGACCACTGTCACTGAAAATGTACCAATAATAATAATAATAATAATAATAATAATAATAATAAATAATAATAATAAATAAATAAATAAATAATAATAATAATAATTATTATTATTATTATAAAATAATAATTATAATAAAAAGAAGAAGAAAACTATAATGATAATAATAATAATTTCATTATTATTAATAATAATAATGATAAAATAATCATGATGATAATAATATTATTATTATTAATAACAACAACAGCAATAATAATAATTATGACAATAATAATAATAATAATGATAAAATAATAATGATAATAATAATATTCTTGTTATTATTAATAACAACAACAACAGCGATAATAATAATAATAATAATAATAATAATAATAATAACAATAATAATAACAAATATACAAAAAATATAATAATAATAATGATAAAATTATAATAATAATATTCTTGTTATTATTAATAACAACAACAACACCCTAACCCTAACCCTAATAATAACAACAACAATAATAATAATAATAAAAACGTGATATTTATATATTTACACATTAATCAGATTTGTTGACACATTTAGGCTTTTTCTGATTAAAATGATGTAACTTCATATTTCACATTTGACCTTTTATTAATAATTTCCTTTTATCTGAAGGTAAATTATTGCTAATCTATCGGATTTTGTGTAAACTGGAACATTTCTTTTTTAAAACACAGAACTTGTCTTTTCTCCACGTCCTCGTGAAGAACATGTTTTTCTGGCCCTCTCCGTTAGCTGAGATGCTGAGGTGTTGTAATAAAAGGGTGAAGGGTGGGGCAGGAGCAGGAGCAGCGGAACCCGGATGCTGATGCTGACTGAGGAGCAGGAAGCTGAGAGGATGCAGAGAGGAGGAGGAGGAGGAGTGTGAGAGGAAGAAAGCGGAGCAGCGGTGAGGACATCCCGGCGCTGATAGGAGCTTTTCCACCAGACAGCCTGCACCTTTGGTTCTGACGGAAGCAGGTTGGTTCTGGTTCTGGATCCAGACCGGCCGGGCAGGAGGAGGAGGAGGAAGAACACTAGAGAGAGGCAGCAGAGTCGCCAGCTGAGGATGCTGCTTGTTGTTTCCAGGAACAGGATCCACAATCGGCCCGAGTTCTGATCTTGAAGCCGTCCCGAACCGGATCTGGTGTGGTTCGGCCTACCCGGAGGCTGTTTGCCCCCCCAACCCCTTCCGCTCCTCTTTTTCCTGATGCAGGACCGGGGAGGGGGCGAACCAAAGTGTGACCGGATATTGGAAAACCCATCTGGAGCTGCTGGGATAGCAGCGGGATCTGATCCGAACCGAACTGGGACTCGGGACATGCTGGAGCTCTGGGGGAAGTAAGGAGGTGTGGGGGGCTCCAGGTGCTGATCTGAGACCGGATCCAACCGGGATGTTCTGACTCGGGTCATCTGAAACTCTGTTCCATCAGACTTCCGGTCCAACCCTGCAGGAGATCGTGCTCCACTTTTAGGATCAGTCCGGTTTCCGTTCTGAGTTATCTGTTTGATGTGAGTCGACTCGCCGGTCCTCCTCCCCCCACCCCACCCCCCTCCAGGCCCATTCAGGGACCGGCTGGTGGAGGGGAGTAGCCTGCAGGGCCCGGTTTTGGATCACGACCACCTCCTCCTATCCAGGAGCGTGTGACGCCGTCATGCACGGAGCAGCACCGAGCACGTTTTTCATCCTCCTCGTTTAACGAAGAAACCCCCCCCCCCCCCCCCCAAGCTCCACCCCGCACGCGCGCACGGAAAGATGAGCAGCAAGGAGCTCACAGGGGGCCAGTCCACTCAGTACGTGGGTCCATACCGGCTGGAGAAGACCCTCGGGAAAGGACAGACAGGTGAGTCTGCAACACACACACACACACACACACACACACACACACACACACACACACACACACACACACACACACACACACATATCATGTGGTAAGCTCCTCCTTGTCTCCCTGGTTCTGTGTTGCTCTGGGACCCAAATCAGTTTAATATTTTCCAAATTTCCTTTAGTTTCTTTTCCAAAAGTGTCCTAGAATCTAAAGTTGTAGTGGAGTAAAGGCAGTTTGGGGTGGCTGATGTACCAAAAGTCTTTACTGCCTTCATGCTGTAACTACTGCTGGGAAAAGCTGGTCTAACACGTCATAAACAAGACACGCCCCCTCTTGTATGTCCCAGTCACTTGGCCCAGCAAACATTCAGACGTTTAATGACAGTTAAAACAACGTCAAACCCAGACGTTTCATCATGGTTGAGAAACAGTTCCAGGGGTACGATGTCGTCGTGACGATGTTTGCTCAGCAACATGTAAACGTTGGTCGTGGTCAGTGGCTGACGGGCCTTTGGATTACTAGCTGCTAGCGTTAGAGCTACAGCTAATGCTAGCTGAAGTTACTGCTAATGCTAGCCCAATCAAATGCTAATGCTAGCCTGAGCTAGTGCTAATGCTAGCTCAAGTTACTGCTAATGCTAGCCCAAATGATAAATGATAAATGACCCGCACTTGTATAGCACCTCTCAGAGGAAGAACTCCAAAGCACTTTATACTAACATGTATCATTCATCCATTCACACACTGATGGTGATGAGCTACGATGTAGCCACAGCTGCCCTGGAGCACACTGACAAGCAAGCAAATGCTAATGCTAGCCTGAGCTTCTGCTAATGCTAGCTCAAGTTACTGCTAATGCTAGCCTGAGCTACTGCTAATGCTGACTCAAGCTAATGCTAGCCTGAGCTACTGCTAATGCTGGCTCAAGCTAATGCTAATGCTAGCCTGAGCTACTGCTAATGCTAGAAAGAAAGAAAGAAAGAAAGAAAGAAAGAAAGAAAATGATCTTTTATATAGCGCCTCTTAAGATAAAAACCATGAGGCACTTCATGTCATCAAAAAACTATTAAAGTACAAAAAATATTTTTTTAAATTTTCTAAAATATTTTCTAAATGAGAAAATAAAGCCTGAGCTAATGCTAACAGTGGCTTGACGGTGCCTTGGAAGTTGTTATTTCCGAGATGAGGTAGCCGGAAATAACGCAATGAATTGGGAATTCTTAGCTGTGAGCTCGTAGGTTTCAGAGGACCCCGAGATCCCAAATTTAAAGATGGCTACTCCCAGTGCTACCAGGAAGTAGTTATCGTCTTTATTTTTTTTTTATGATTTATATGTTCTGTTTTCTTCTTTTTGCTCTTTAACAGCACCGGTAAGTTGATTATTGTTGTTATCAATAGTTGCGTTGCTGAAAAATGTAACGTTGTCGCCAGAGTTGACCGGTGTTGATGGTTTTTTCTTTTCCTGGCGTTTTTATATTTACATTTGTTTTGTGATGTTTCTCTGCTCGTATGCGGAAACAGTCGAAGGGCGTGTGTGTCACGATTATTAAGATGCAGAGAGTACTTGGTTACATAATTGTTTTGGTTTAGTGCTCAACAACACTGGTGGCATCCTTTTTTTTAGTTGGATGCTGGAATGCAGAACTAGCCTGTTACGTAATTTACTGCTCCGAAATTCTGAGTTTCGACGACAACTGGAACGCACGATGAGCTTCTGCTAATGCCGGCTCAAGCTACTGCTAACGCTAGCCCAAGCTACTGCTAACGCTAGCCCAAGCTAATGCTAATGCTAGCCTGAACTACTGCTAATGTACCTGTTGGAGAGGAAAACAACAAAGGATGTTGGAGCACCACTCACATTCCAGAATTCACTGGGAATATCCAGAGTACGGGGTTCACAAGTGAGGAAAGACGCAAGATTGTTAGGTGGATTGATGTTTAGTCTACAGTAATGCAGGTGTTATACCGGATTGTCGTATTCATAGCTCTCGACTTAACGGTGGATCTACGTTCCTACCCTCACCCATGGTCACAAGCTTTGGGTAGTAACCGAAAGAACGAGATCGCGGACACAAGCGGCTGAAATGAGTTTTCTCTGCAGAATGGCTGGGCTCTCCCTTAGAGATAGGGTGAGTAGCTTGGTCATCCGGGAGGGGCTCGGAGTAGATGTGCTGCTCCTCCACATCAAGAAGAGCCAGTTGAGGTGGCTTTGGCATCTGGTCAGGATGCCTCCCTGGTGAGGTTTGCCAGGCACGTCCAACTAGGATGAGACCGTAAGGAAGATCCAGGACACGCTGGAGGGACTATGTCTCTCAGCTGGCCAGGGAACGCCTTGGGATTCTCCCGGAGGAGCTGGCCCAAGTGGCTGGGGAGAGGGAAGTCTGGGCCTCCCTGCTGAGACTGCTGCCCCCACGACCCGACCCCGGAGAAGCGATTGAAAATGGATGGATTCCAGATAGATTCAGAGATTGTTATTGTTGTCCTCTTCCTTGTCCACCACTGACCCCCCCACCCCTCGGGCCATCGTCCACAAACTCACCTCCTAGATCTTCCTTAAACCGCTGCTTCACAACCCTCCAGACACTCTCTTCAGTCCTCCTTCTCCCACAACCCCCCAGCGCCACGGATATCGGCCAGCTGGTGTCGTTCTTCACCAATGTGTCTCCCCCTGGACCCACAACACACACACACACACACACACACACACACACACACACACACACACACACACACACACACACACACATACAGACAAACACACACACACACACACACACACACACACACACACACACACACACACACACACACACACACATACAGACAAACACACACACACACACACACACACACACACACACACACACACACATACAGACAAACACACATACACACACACACACACACACACACACATACAGACAAACACACACACACACACACACACACACACATACAGACAAACACACACACACACACACACACACACACACACACACTCAGAACACAGATTTAGCGTCACAGACCCTTTGGGGCAAATGCACCTCATTCAATACTCATGTCTTGGCGGAGTGGGCGGGGCCATTTGGTAATCAGGACCATTTGAGTCCCATCAAAGTTTCATGTGTTACAAAGAAGCTCAAAGAACCGTTTCAATAATGAATAATTAAAATAAAAAAGTATTTTATTTCACCAAAACATTCGTTGTTGTTTTTAGGTCTTTAAAAATCGCGCTGTAAAATGATTCCTTGTGTCTTTGTAACAAAAATAAACCAGAATGTTGTTTTCCAGGGCTGGTGAAGCTGGGCGTCCACTGCATAACGGGGCAGAAGGTGGCCATAAAGATTGTGAACAGAGAGAAGCTGTCTGAATCGGTTCTGATGAAGGTATGGTCGTCGTCTCTTCACGTTTGTGTGGTTGGATGAAAGTCCCGGCTGCAGGAGGAGCCGGGTCAGGGTGCTGTAACATGAGACTGCTGAGTGTGGACTCTGCTCCTCTAGACAACAGGACTGCTCATCAGGACGCCTGCAGCAGAAATAAAACTCCTTCCAATTCTCCTGGAGCGTATGTGGGCTGGGGGCGGGGGCTGTTTGGGCATCACGGTTGAGCCGAGCAGCTCTGGAGCGTTTCTGCGTAAAATAACATGAATTATTATCAGATGTGTTTTAGCTACAATCACAAGAAACGACATGATTCACCTGAAAGAGAGAGAGTGGTCTGACTCAGGTACTGTGGTTAAAAAATAAAACATAAATACATGAAAAGGTTTTTTATCCAACTTGGCAGAGCCCGGACCCTGCTCTTCAGGACTGAAACGGTACAGATTTTATTACAGATCTAATTAAATCAGTTTAAAACATCATTAACTAATCATTTAATATAATTATTGAAGTCATGGATAATTAATTCATGTGTTTTGTGGATTTGGTGACGCGCTTGACCGTGTCCGGGGGAGTCCTGTGGGGGTACGGTGGGGTGGAATCTGTTCTCCAGGTCAGGGGCCAGGTCCAGTCCGAGTTCATCTGGGGTCGTGTTCACGAGTGAGGGAAAACTGGAGCGTGAGATGGACAGGAGGAATTGTGCTGCGTCTGCAGTGATTCGGGCGTTGTACCGGTCTGTCGTGGTGAAGAGAGAGCTGAGTCAGAAGGCGAAGCTCTCGATTTACCGGTCCGTCTACGTTCCTACCCTCACCTATGGTCACGAGCTCTGGGTAGTGACCGAAAGAACGAGATCGCGGATACAAGCGGCCGAAATGAGTTTTCTCCGCTGTAGGGGTAGACCAATATCAGTCTGCCGATAAATCGGGCCGATTTTTACCGTTTTTTATACATCGGCCGATATTTGTCCTTAGTAAAGCCGATTTAAAGTCAGGCACATTCTCGGACGGCCCGGTGCTGAAGCAGAATTTAATTTGAGATTCATGTTCACTAATTACATCTGCATAATAAATACTCTAATTAACTTTATTTAGGTGTCCGACTTTAACACTGAGCGGTGAACAAAGTTAAGATTCACCAGGAAGTTAAATTCAAAAACAGATCCAGCTTCAGAAAGTTTCTGCATCGGCTGGTTTTCTTAGTGACATTTTAGCGTGAAAATAAGGTGGAAAATGTCTCAATATTGTCCCGAAAAATCGGCAGCACATATCGGCCATCGGCTGGCCGTGTCTCTTACACATCGTCCATCGGCTGGCCGTGTCTCTTACATATCGGCCATCGGCTCTTACATATCGGCCATCGGCTGGCCGTGTCTCTTACATATCGGCCATCGGCTCTTACATATCGGCCATCGGCTGGTCGTGTCTCTTACATATCGGCCGTCGGCTGGCCGTGTCTCTTACATATCGGCCATCGGCTGGTCGTGTCTCTTACATATCGGCCGTCGGCTGGCCGTGTCTCTTACATATCGGCCATCGGCTCTTACATATCGGCCATCGGCTGGCCGTGTCTCTTACATATCGGCCATCGGCTCTTACATATCGGCCGTCGGCTGGCCGTGTCTCTTACATATCGGCCATCGGCTGGTCGTGTTTCTTACATATCGGCCGTCGGCTGGCCGTGTCTCTTACATATCGGCCATCGGCTCTTACATATCGGCCGTCGGCTGGCCGTGTCTCTTACATATCGGCCATCGGCTCTTACATATCGGCCGTCGGCTGGCCGTGTCTCTTACATATCGGCCGTCGGCTGGCCGTGTCTCTTACATATCGGCCGTCGGCTGGCCGTGTCTCTTACATATCGGCCATCGGCTGGCCGTGTCCCTTACATATCGGCCATCGGCTCTTACATATCGGCCGTCGGCTGGCCGTGTCTCTTACATATCGGCCGTCGGCTGGCCGTGTCTCTTACATATCGGCCGTCGGCTGGCCGTGTCTCTTACATATCGGCCGTCGGCTGGCCGTGTCTCTTACATATCGGCCGTCGGCTGGCCGTGTCTCTTACATACCGGCCGTCGGCTGGCCGTGTCTCTTACATATCGGCCGTCGGCTGGCCGTGTCTCTTACATATCGGCCATCGGCTCTTACATATCGGCCGTCAGCTGGTCGTGTCTCTTACATATCGGCCATCGGCTGGCCGTGTCCCTTACATATCGGCCATCGGCTCTTACATATCGGCCGTCGGCTGGCCGTGTCTCTTACATATCGGCCGTCGGCTGGCCGTGTCTCTTACATATCGGCCGTCGGCTGGCCGTGTCTCTTACATATCGGCCATCGGCTCTTACATATCGGCCGTCAGCTGGTCGTGTCTCTTACATATCGGCCATCGGCTGGCCGTGTCCCTTACATATCGGCCATCGGCTCTTACATATCGGCCGTCGGCTGGCCGTGTCTCTTACATATCGGCCGTCGGCTGGCCGTGTCTCTTACATATCGGCCGTCGGCTGACCGTGGCTCTTACATATCGGCCGTCGGCTGGCCGTGTCTCTTACATATCGGCCATCGGCTCTTACATATCGGCCGTCGGCTGGCCGTGTCTCTTACATATCGGCCATCGGCTCTTACATATCGGCCGTCGGCTGGCCGTGTCTCTTACATATCGGCCATCGGCTCTTACATATCGGCCGTCGGCTGGCCGTGTCTCTTACATATCGGCCATCGGCTCTTACATATCGGCCGTCGGCTGGCCGTGTCTCTTACATATTGGCCATCGGCTCTTACATATCGGCCGTCGGCTGGCCGTGTCTCTTACATATCGGCCATCGGCTGGCCGTGTCTCTTACATATCAGCCATCGGCTCTTACATATCGGCCGTCGGCTGGCCGTGTCTCTTACGTATCGGCCATCAGCTCTTACATATCGGCTGTTGGCTGGCCGTGTCTCTTACATATCGGCCATCGGCTCTTACATATCGGCCGTCGGCTGGCCGTGTCTCTTACATATCGGCCATCGGCTCTTACATATCGGCCGTCGGCTGGCCGTGTCTCTTACATATCGGCCATCGGCTGGCCGTGTCTCTTACATACCGGCCGTCGGCTGGCCGTGTCTCTTACATATCGGCCATCAGCTGGCCGTGTCTCTTACGTATCGGCCATCAGCTCTTACATATCGGCTGTTGGCTGGCCGTGTCTCTTACATATCGGCCATCGGCTGGCCGTGTCTCTTACATATCGGCCATCGGCTCTTACATATCGGCCGTCGGCTGGCCGTGTCTCTTACATATCGGCCATCGGCTGGCCGTGTCTCTTACATATCGGCCATCGGCTGGCCGTGTCTCTTACATATCGGCCATCGGCTGGCCGTGTCTCTTACATATCGGCCGTCGGCTGGCCGTGTCTCTTACATATCGGCCATCGGCTCTTACATATCGGCCGTCGGCTGGCCGTGTCTCTTACATATCGGCCATCAGCTCTTACATATCGGCCGTCGGCTGGCCGTGTCTCTTACATATCGGCCATCGGCTGGCCGTGTCTCTTACATATCGGCCATCAGCTGGCCGTGTCTCTTACGTATCGGCCATCAGCTCTTACATATCGGCTGTTGGCTGGCCGTGTCTCTTACATATCGGCCATCGGCTCTTACATATCGGCCGTCGGCTGGCCGTGTCTCTTACATATCGGCCGTCGGCTGGCCGTGTCTCTTACATATCGGCCATCAGCTGGCCGTGTCTCTTACATATCGGCCATCGGCTCTTACATATCGGCCGTCGGCTGGCCGTGTCTCTTACATATCGGCCGTCGGCTGGCCGTGTCTCTTACATATCGGCCGTCGGCTGGCCGTGTCTCTTACATATCGGCCGTCGGCTGGCCGTGTCTCTTACATACCGGCCGTCGGCTGGCCGTGTCTCTTACATATCGGCCGTCGGCTGGCCGTGTCTCTTACATATCGGCCGTCGGCTGGCCGTGTCTCTTACATATCGGCCATCGGCTCTTACATATCGGCCGTCGGCTGGCCGTGTCTCTTACATATCGGCCATCGGCTGGCCGTGTCTCTTACATATCGGCCATCGGCTGGCCGTGTCTCTTACATATCGGCCATCGGCTCTTACATATCGGCCGTCGGCTGGCTGTGTCTCTTACATATTGGCTGGCCGTGTCTCTTACATATCGGCCATCGGCTGGCCGTGTCTCTTACATATTGGCCATCGGCTCTTACATATCGGCCGTCGGCTGGCCGTGTCTCTTACATATCGGCCATCGGCTGGCCGTGTCTCTTACATATTGGCCATCGGCTCTTACATATCGGCCGTCGGCTGGCCATGTCTCTTACATATCGGCCGTCGGCTCTTACATATCGGCCGTCGGCTGGCCGTGTCTCTTACATATCGGCCATCGGCATCAGCAATCAAAAAGTCAATATTGGTCGACCTCTTCTCTGCAAGTGGGGGAGGATTTGACCTGTAGTCACCTGAACAGCCTTTATTCACAGAAGTAGAATTCACATGTTTATGCTTATTTATTTTTATGTTTATTCGTTTAGCAGACGCTTTTATCCAAAGCGACGTACAATCTATAACCTATAGGGCATGTTGTGATCTGTGGGGGAAACCGGAGTACCCGGAGGAAACCCACGCATGCATGGGGAGGACACGCAACTCCACGCAGAAAGGCCGTAGCCGAGTTTCGAACCAGCAAACTTCGTGCTGCGAGGCAACAGTGCTAACCACTGTGCCACCATCACATCCTACAGGACTGATGAGCTAACGGCTAGTCTTAACACAGCTCTTTTGACTTGTATTTTACTGACAGTTTCACAAAGGTTAAAGGACATTTACAGGAAAATGTGCAGCTTGGGTTGACGTTTTTGCAAACTCAGAAACTCTTTTCTTGCCAGATTTTCTTATATTTACCTGTTATCTGTCACCACATAATGTAGTGTGGGCGTGGCTTAACTTTAAATGCATCCCACCACGGGGCAGCCCCAGGGAGCCAATAATCAATGTCCCTGATGTGAAGGGAAAATCTATCCTGAGCTCATGTGTGTTTTAGGTCACAGAGCAGCTCCATGACCCGCTTCTGGGACCACAAAGTCTGACTTTTAAGACGCGTTTGGTTTTAAATGTCGTGACTATGAAAATCAGTCGGTATTTATTCCGTTAAAATATTCCCAGTTTGGAAAATCAGACAGAAGCTAAAGGCTAATCTAGCTAACAGGTAACCTGGAGTGGTGGTGCAAGTTATTCACTGCATCTACACACGTGCACGCACACACACACACACACACACACACACATATACACAAACATATACACACACACACACACACACACATGCGTACACACACATGCACACACACACACATATACACACACATACACACACACACACACACATGCACACACACACACATATACACACATATACACACACACACACACATGCACACACACACACATATACACACATATACACACACACACACACGCACACACACACACACACACACATGCACACACACACACATATACACACATGCACACACACACACACATGCACACACATGCACGCACACACATATGCACACACACACGCACACACACATGCACACGCACGCATGCACACACACACACATGCACGCATGCACACACACACACACACACACATGCACGCACGCACACACACATGCACGCATGCACACACACACACACACACTTGTGGGACACCATCTTTATCTTTATGCAGCATCACAGGAACAAAAGTCTGATTTGAGCTTTTGCTGTGAAACCCTCGCCTGCTGACTAAAGATGACTAAAGATGACTCTAGCTGCACGATGAAGGAACCGTCTGAGGAATTTCTAGAAGCCTCTTCTGCTCTGTGTGCTAACCGACTCCCCCGTTTGCCTCCCTTCTCCCCTTTTTCTGCCTCACTCATCTGACATTCCCTCCTCTGTTGTTTGTAAGCTTCTCTTTTCTCTCCTACCCTCTGTCCACGTCTGTCCCTCCTCCTTTCTGCAGGTGGAGAGGGAAATAGCTATTCTTAAACTAATAGAGCACCCCCATGTTCTGAAGCTCTATGACGTCTATGAAAATAACAAATACCTGTAAGTAGCTCTGGCTCCTTGCTGCTTGCTGCTTGCTGATGACGAGCTGACCGAATCCCCGTTGTGGCTGATGACCATGTTTGTCTCAGGTATCTGGTGCTGGAGCACGTCTCTGGAGGAGAGCTGTTCGACTACCTGGTTAAGAAAGGTCGGCTGACCCCCAAAGAGGCCCGGAAGTTCTTCAGACAAATCATCTCTGCTCTGGACTTCTGCCACAGCCACTCCATCTGGTCTGTGAGAAGCTACAAACACATCCACTCTGGTCCTCCGAGCTTCTGCTCCTCTAGAATGTCTGTTTTTGTCTTTTGTTTATGGCTAAATCCATTCTGGGGACATTCTGCCGTGTTTATGTGTCGTTAAAGCCGGGACCACACGCTAGGTGTTCTGGCTATCGTGAAGGACAGCTTCGTGTCTCGCTGTGAGGACTCTAGCGAGGTGGCACACTCACGATCCAAGACTTCAGTGATCCAAACTGCACTACGGCTCGTTCTAGCGCGAACGTCACGAGCACACTAGCCAAAAGCACATCTGCTAAAAGCCGACAGATTCCCACGACAACAAGGATGAAAAGAGAAAACGGCGCCACCATGAACGGTTCAGCGGTCCAGGCGCTCCTACGTTTAGCCTTCACTTTTGCTGATGTTGCTAATGCTACTGTCGTATTGAAAACGCGTCACTACTTTTCTGCATCACTCCCTGGATGTATTTTCATTGGTCGATTGCAGACGGTGGTCGTAGGTTTTCAGAAGACTGGTGGAGGCTGAATCTGGTCATGAGGCTGTTGCAGCGCCAGTCACAAACCTGCAAATCCCCCACGTGTTCGCTGTTGGTGTCAGGATTCTGTTCACAACGAGGGATTTTCCCACAGAGGCCGGAACATGGCCGACTTTCACGGGGGGGGGGGGGGGTGGCAGAGCGTACATTTCAGGGTAGTTTTACATCATATCTTAGGTGTGTTCTTGCTGTGTCTTTCTAATTCCATGCTTTCGTTCTTTTTAAACACAGAAACAGTTTTGTTTACCTGTTTGTAGCTACAGTTTCGCCGACGGCTGCCGGCTTCTTCAGGCTGACGCTGATGGTGGCGCGTCACTTCCTTCTCCGTTTATCTGCGGGCAGCAGAGGACGTTGTCGCCCTCTACTGCCCGCTCTCCCCTCTCCGACGATGCAGTCCCATGCGTGGGTGCTTAAGAGAAAACCATATAATGGACTGGGACAGCACACGGATCATAACCACCGAACAACAAAAATGCAAAAGATGGATCAAGGAAGCAATCGAGATAAGGAGACGTGGATGTGGGACCATGAACAGGGACGATGGAGTTTACACGCTGGACCACGCATGGAACTGCATCGTCGGAGAGGGGAGAGCGGGCAGTAGAGGGCGACAACGTCCTCTGCTGCCCGCGGATAAACGGAGAAGGAAGTGACGCGCCACCATCAGCGTCAGCCTGAAGAAGCCGGCAGCTGTCGGCGAAACTGTAGCTACAAACAGGTAAACAAAACTGTTTCTGTGTTTAAAAAGAACGAAAGCATGGATTTACATCATATCGTTATGACCGTCGCTGGTTAAAAACATTTCAGGGTAAGTGTTGCTGCCTGTGGAGCAGAAAGCATGCGATCTCGGCGCGAGGTCCTTCAGTTAATCCCATCGGGAGAACGCTGACGCCAGTTTTCTGCTGCTGTCGTTTCCGGATCTGCTCGGGGTCCAGTGCCTGCCGATGACATCATCACACTTTTCTCTTCAGTTCTTTCACATAGGTTTCGGAAACAGGTTCGCTGTTTTGTTATTAAATTCATTTTTCTTTGTGCCTAAATGTTTTCAAGCGTGGCAACATAACTTCTGTAAGTCGTACTTCCTGCCAATCATTTAGTGTGATGTCACTGTCGACCAGAAGGAAACATGGCGCCCCCCAAAGACGCTAGACCCGCGCACCATGTACTTTAGACGTGATTTCTATGGTTATTTGGTACAAAGCGCCTGGACACCAGAGAATACGGAAAATACTACACACACTGTCTCTTTAAAGCAGCAATCCAGAGTTTTCCCTGTTTTAGAAGATCTGTAAAAGAGGAAGTCTTATTTTGAAAAGCTCAACCACCCACACCCACCACACTGTCCCATAGGCAAATATTGGAAATGTAAAATGGTCTAGGAAGGTCCCGCCTTTCTCGTGAACATAGAGCTATAATCACGCTTCTGTCCCCATGCAAGCTTCCGCTCAGCATCAGCCAATAGCGTTAGACACCTGCTGACGTGCACATGCCTATCAGAGAGCGTGCACCAGTGCTTGAGCACGAACCCAGACGGATGCAGAGTAACGTGAGAATAATAAAAGTGTTTTTGCTCTGTCGGCTGGCTCGAGGTGCGGTCACAAACGAGAGGCATCCGTAAAAATGGAGGACGCCTTAAGGTGCAGTACACTTTTCATCCTCTAGATGGTGCTGTTGGAGAAAAAACTGATTAGCAATGGCTAGCCTTTCACACAAAACAGGTGAGGTGTCATTTTCGGTAGAACCGATGTTTGTCGGGTTCCTTTCTTCATGAACAACTTTAGAAACATGGTTTTAAAACGATTTTTAATGTGAAATCGTGTCTAAAACGGCTCAGATTTGGCTGATTAAAGATCAGGCAGCTCCTCCATTAGAGGAATAATTTTTATTAATAACAATGAAGGCATGGACATGAATTCTTGTCTTTTGTCCACATGTCCAGCCACAGAGACCTGAAGCCGGAGAATCTTCTCCTGGATGAGAAGAGCAACATCAGGATAGCGGACTTTGGAATGGCCTCGTTACAAGTGGGGGAGAATCTGCTGGAGACCAGCTGTGGGTGAGTTTTCACCTCTCATGGTGCAGAAATAAGAGAACTGATGCTCGTGCTGATCACCTGGAGCAGCCTACCTGTTCGGTCTCTGCTGTTCGTCGATGATGACTCATCGGGAGGAGGAAGGGATTAAATGACAACAGTAGGATGGGGTTATAATTTTCACCTGGGTTCACCGGAAACATCAGAAGGATAAATCCTGGCAGTGAGGAGCAGGACCGTAATGGAGAGATTTAAACACCGGTCCCTTCGAGAAACTGAGCTGGGAGCACGGGTGGGTGTTGGATCTGCACTGGTAGGAAAACCGCGCCAGGCCTAGGAAGCTGGCGAGGACAACACTGTTGAATATAAATGTTGGTAGGGACATTTCTCCGCTAGAATGATGCTAAAACTACAGCTAATGTCCTTGTTGGATGAGAGGAAACCCACCAAGAAGAACGTCGGAGCACACGTGTAACGTTCCAGGATGATCAGATCCACGGCTGAACAGTTTCTGACTTCAGGCAGAGTCATAGAGCTATCGCAGTCAACCGGCCAATCAGGGTGGAGCTCATTTAATATTCGTGTATTTGGTCATTTATCAGGGCTCCTGGCACAGGTTGACCTTCTTGTGTTTTCTAGAGGCTCTAAGAAGAGTTCCCAACTGTAAAAAACCCTTTAAGGTGCAGTACCCTGCACTGCCACAAGGGGCTCTGCTGCTCCTCACATGAGTCTCTCTCTCTCTCTTCATAGATCCCCTCATTATGCCTGTCCAGAGGTCATCAGGGTGAGTGCACGCCCTCTCGGAGCTGTGTGTGTGTGTGTGTGTGTGTGTGTGTGTGTGTGTGTGTGTGTGTGTGTGTGTGTGTGTGTGTTTCCATGTCCAACTCCGTGTCCTGTTGTATGTTTCAGGGTGAGAAGTATGACGGTCGCAGAGCTGACGTCTGGAGCTGTGGAGTTATTCTGTTTGCTCTTCTCGTGGTGAGAACTTCTTCTTCTTATTTAAAATTTCTGGTTTAATTTGCTGATTCAACCAATCAAATCAATCAAAATTTATTTATGAAGCGCTTTTCATGCAAATTCAGCTCAAAGGGCTTTTCAATAATAAAACAACCAGACAGCAGTCGGTTTCCCACCCCTCCCACACACACACACACACACACACACACACACACACACACACACACACACACACACACACACACACACACACACACACACACACACACACACACACACACACACACACACACAGATTCACATAAGAGATCCCCTTTGTATCTCCGTCCTCCCACCTTCAATCCACACACACACACACGCACGCACAAACACACACACACACACACACGCACGCACGCACACACACATATGCACACACACAATAGAGAAAGGGCAGCTGGCTGAGTGCAGATGTAATAGATATATAAAGAAGACGAAAACGCCCTCAAAGGAGCCAACGGCACCGGGAGCACCAAGACTGGCAGCAACCGCCTTGGCAAGAGTAAACATGGGAAGCACCCGGCCGCCACAGCCCACCGCTGCCCCCGGGGCTACCGGCCCCCCCCCCAGAGGAAAGACTAGTTTAATAATGAGACTAAGATAACAAGTTAAGAAACAAATTAATCATAAACAGCTGATAAATAAAAATCTAAATAAAACACACTGATCAAAGATGACCAAGTAGAAACATATTAAATTTATACAAATATTGTACAACAAAGTATTAAGACTGGTTAAAACTGATAATTATAATAAGTTAAAATAAATATATAAGAAAATATGTGTTATTTAGTTGAGTGTAGTAAGTAATAAAACACTGATAAAATATATAAAAGATGGTAAAACAGGCTAAAATAGATCATAATCACTTAAAAGCTGTACTAAAAAGGTGAGTCTTGAGCCTGGCCTTAAAAACAAGAACACTCTCTACGGCCCTGAGGTCCTCTGGCAGACTGTTCCAGAGGCGAGGGCCATAAACCTGGAAGGATGCCTCGCCTCGGGAGTGTGTCCTGGCTTTTGGAATGACGAGGAGATGGCTGCCGGAGGAGCGCAGGGACCGCGAAGGCTCGTGTTTATGAAGCAGTTCTGAGAGATGAGAAGGCCCAAGACCATTAAGACGTTTAAAAACCATTAAAACCAACGGAACGCCAGACTGTGAGCGTTAACGTTTCTGTGTAACCGGTATTATTAACTCCGTTCCTGCTTGTTGTGAACGGCTTCATGAACAGCCTTAGTTCACAGAAACAGAGTTTACACCATCGGCACTGAGGAGCTAATGGCTAGTTTTTGTACCGCTAAGGCTAAAGCGAACTGACCTACGCCTCAGCCCCGCCCCTGAACACAAGCAAACCAGTAGCATTCAGCTACTGGTCTCCTCTGGCTGCCCACCTGCATAGAGAAGCGTCAGGATCTGCAGCACTTTAGCCGTTTGTTACTTTATTTGTGTTTTAGGACACAAACGTAGTTAAACCAAGCGCCTCCAGCCGCCACCAGCTGGGTCCACCAGTGGGCTCGGGGGCTGCCACCATGACAGGTACAGAGAACCGTGTGGCCACGGCTCTGGTCAGTCGCCTGGACAATGGAGGTACACAGAACATGACCCAATCTGGCTCGGTGTCCCCCACCGCCCCCTGGAAGCACTCAGCTGCCGATGGAAACTGAAGCTCCTTCCGACAGGAAGCCCCATCAGATGATCCCCACAGACCCTCTCCATACACTTGGGCCCGACAGGTCAAATCAGCATCCTCCCCACCATCTGAGCCAGCTCACCACCAGGTAGTGGTCAGAATATAATCATCCATCCATCGTTCTCCGCTCATCCGGGGTCGGGTTGCAGGGCCACAGCCTCAGCAGGGAGGCCCAGACTTCCCTCTCCCCAGCCACGTGGACCAGCTCCTCCGGGGGAATCCTACGGCGTTCCCTGGCCAGCCGAGGGACATAGTCCCTCCAGCGTGACCTGGGTCTTCATTTAGGTCTCCTCCTGGTTGGAAAACAGGGGGCATCCTAACCAGACGCCCGAGCCACCTCAACTGGCTCCTCTCGATGTGGAGGTGCAGCAGATCTATTTCAAGCCCCTCCCGGATGACGTGAAACTTCCTTTACTCTTCGTCAGGGTTTTCTCCTCTCTCTCTCTCTTCCCTCTCAGGGTGCTTTACCGTTCGACCACGACAACCTGCGACAGCTTCTAGAGAAGGTGAAGAGCGGCGTTTTTCACATGCCTCACTTCATCCCTCCCGACTGCCAGGCTCTGCTGAAGGGGATGATCGAGGTCTCCGCCGAGAAGAGACTCACGGTGGGACACCGTTAGGCTCGTCTACGACTCAAACTAATGATAATTCTAATTACTGCAGATGAAAACTTTGAAATGGTCGTGTTGGTTAATGTGGTAATCATGAGCTGTAGTCACCAGCATGTCCTCCTGATGAGCTCCTCTGATAGACGCAGCTGCCGTCCGAAAACACCTGCCCGCTGCACCACTAGGACCTGCTCTCACTTTGTAAGGGTCAGACCTCCTCAGGGATCTCGTGTTCAACAACCTCCTAACATTCAGAGGTTGGCTGGGATCTTCTCCGCATGAAGAGGGAAACAGTTACAGAAACAGGAGGAGCTTGTTCTCCACGTGGAGCACGAACCAACGGGTAGGAGCGGATGAGAGGCCGCACCGAGCTTTAATGGAGTCTGACACAAGACCTTAGCTGGAGAGGGGGGGGGGGGGGGGGGTCTGCTATAGCAGGACTTTGTCACAAAGGAGGAGAACATCTATAGGCTGGAGCGCCAGAAGGGGCGGAGCTGCAGCAGGAAGCAGGTATCTAAGTTTTTAGGGCTTTCAGATTGAAGCTCTTGAGGTGATTGTGGAGAGTCCTCCATCGTGTCATCGTATTTAAATACTCGGCTGTTCAGAGTGACTTGGCTGTAACGGGCTGATCGAGTCTGCAGGCTGACACGATGCTTCTAAAATGACCATCTGTGAGTTTTAGTCCTTTTATGGTTTGAGAAAAGATTTCTTTCTGTGTAACGACCTTCAGGTTCCCTTCGTTTTCAAAGTCAAGTACGCACTCGCTACAGTAACCGAGTCGTGTGTCAGAGCCAAGTCGTGTGTCAGAGAACCGAGTCGTGTGTCAGAGAACCGAGTCGTGTGTCAGAGAACCGAGTCGTGTGTCAGAGAACCCAGTCGTGTGTCAAAGAACTGAGTCGTGTGTCAAAGAACTGAGTCGTGTGTCAGAGAACCGAGTCTTCTGTCTGAGAACTGAGTCGTGTGTCAGAGAATCAAGTCGTGTGTCAAAGAACTGAGTCGTGTGTCAGAGAATCGAGTCGTGTGTCAAAGAACTGAGTCGTGTGTCAAAGAACTGAGTCGTGTGTCAGAGAATCGAGTCGTGTGTCAAAGAACTGAGTCGTGTGTCAAAGAACTGAGTCGTGTGTCAGAGAACTGAGTCGTGTGTCTGAGAATCGAGTCTTCTGTCTGAGAACTGAGTCGTGTGTCAGAGAACCGAGTCGTGGTCAGAGAACCGAGTCGTGGTCAGAGAACCGAGTCGTGTGTCAGAGAACCAAGTCGTGTGTCAGAGCATCAAATCGTGTGTCAGAGCACCAAGTCGTGTGTCAGAGAACCGAGTCGTGTGTCAGAGCATCAAATCGTGTGTCAGAGCACCAAGTCGTGTGTCAGAGAACCGAGTCGTGTGTCAGAGAACCGAGTCGTGTGTCAGAGAACCAAGTCGTATGTCAGAGCACCAAGTCATGTGTCAGAGAACCGAGTCGTGTGTCCAAGCCGAGTGGTGTTAGTAATTCAGCAACAGATTTAGTCAAAGCTGTGAGTTCATCAGCTGAGCTGTTGATGATTGGAGCCTGAAACCAGGTCAGTCTGTCTCTCCCTGTCTCTCTCGCCTTGTCTGTCTGCTGCTCGCCTCTGCAAACGCATGCAGCCTCACAGAGAGACACGTTTCCCTCAGTAGTGGGGATTAGAGGACGGCCCCACCATTTAGGAAGCCAAGTCCAGTACAGGAGCATCCTGTAAGCTTCATGCTCGCCTCTTCCTGGTGAGGGAACGGTGAGGTGCTCACAGAGCTGCAGCTGCTCACTGACTCCGCCCCTTTTACATCTTCCTTTTGCTCCTGTTGAGTTAGTGATTGCTGCTGAGACACCAACATTTCCTACTGCAGGGTAAAAAGGAATTTTCTATTCTATTCTATTATGTTCTATTTTATTCTATGTTCTATTCTATTCTATTCTATATCTATTATGTTCTAGTCTGTTCTGTTCTATTCTGTTCTGTTGTATTCTATTATGTTGTATTCTATTCTGTTCTATTCGATTCTATATCTATTCTGTTCTATTCTGTTCTATTCGATTCTATATCTGTTCTGTTCTATTCTGTTCTATTCTATATTCTATTCTGTTCTATTCTATTCTGTTCTATTCTATATTCTATTCTATGTTATATTCTGTTCTATTCTATTCTATTCTATATCTATTCTGTTCTAGTTTGTTCTGTTCTATTCTGTTCTGTTGTATTCTATTATGTTGTATTCTATTCTGTTCTATTCTATTCTACATCTATTCTGTTCTGTTCTATTTTGTTCTATTCTATTCTATATCTATTCTGTTCTGTTCTGTTCTATTTTGTTCTATTCTATTTCTATTCTCTTCTGTTCTATTCTATATCTATTTTGTTCTATTCTTTTCTATTCTATTCTATATCTGTTCTCTTCTATTCTGTTCTATTCTGTTCTATTCTATTCTATTCTATTCTATATCTGTTCTATTCTATTCTATATCTATTCTGTTGTGTTCTATTCTGTTCTATTCTATTCTCTTCTGTTCTATTCTATATCTATTTTGTTCTGTTCTATTCTATTCTGTTCTATTCTAGTCTATTCTATTCTATTCTATTCTATTCTATTTCTGTTCTCTTCTGTTCTATTCTATATCTATTCTGTTCTGTTCTATTCTGTTCTATTCTATTCTGTTCTATTCTATTCTGTTCTATTCTATTCTATATCTATTCTATTCTATATCTATTCTCTTCTGTTCTATTCTATATCTATTTTGTTCTGTTCCATTCTGTTCTATTCTATTCTATTCTATTCTATATCTATTCTGTTCTGTTCCATTCTATTTTATTCTATTCTATTCTATTCAAGTGGCCCTTGCCACCTGTCGATCCACCACCGGGGGCAGTAGACCTGTGTGGGACTGCATGTGGCAGACTTGCTGCTCCATCTGGACGCTTTAAGGCCAGACTTGGCTTCGTGTGTGTTTGTGTGAATGACCGATGAGGAGTCAACGAGGGCTCTGATGTTATTAAATGTCTTCTTTTACAGCTGGAAGCGATACAGAAGCACTCGTGGTACCTGTAAGTACATGAACACGCCTCCTCTCCTGGTCTTTTTTCCATCCTGTCTTTCTGTAACACAACTTTATTTGTTTATTATTTCATTTCTATAAATCCTATAAACAGTGTTAGAGTGGATTGAATGGTTGGTCCTGTGGTACCATGTGCCAGACGAGCAGTGGTAGGTTAGCCGGAAGGAGGCGAGGGAAGCCCAAACCACGTTTAACCATAACTTAGAGAACTTTCTAGTGAACCGGGGAGAAAGCTTCACATCCTTGTGGAGCTCCACCGCTCAGCTACATTCAAGTCAGCCGGTGTTCTCTGTAAGGGTTTTTATTTGAGACTTTACTTGTTTTCACATCTAAATGTGTCTCCATTCGCCTCGTCCTTCATCCATGAACTCAGATGTTTGACCTTGATGCTCGTAACGACGCCGTCTCATCCCACTGTCCTCTTCCTGTCAGGGGGGGTCGTAACGAGCCCTGCCCGGAGCAGCCTCCCCCTCGTAAGGTGTGTGTGAAGAGGATCCTGTCCCTGACGGACCTGGACCCAGATGTCCTGGAAAGCATGTACTCTTTAGGATGCTTCAGAGATCGGGTGAAACTCACTCAGGACCTTACGACTGAGGAGTGAGTACGCCCAACATCTCTCTGACCAGACCCTCTCGGGCAAAAACACCAGTGTGCTATTTCCAGGGACCAGAAGTGAGCCGCAGCACAGCTGAGCTTCAGACGACAGAATTTAGAGTCTTACTTCCTGATGCGTGGACATCTCTCTGATTGGCAAACAGCAACACGACTCCACCGCTGACTCTTTCTATGCCACGTTGATGCTGCATCTCCACTAATAACACAAGCCTGGGGGAGTTCTGCTGTGTGGTGGAGTTGCTAATGCTAACGGTTCGCTTCTACTAGACGTAGATCTGTCAGGATTTTCTAATCCTAGAGTTTCACCGTCTGTTTTCTATCAGAAGCTACTGCAGGAGATGGGTGTAGGAGACTATCTTCAAGGTTCAAGGTTGTCTTTATTAATCCCCAAGGGGGAAATTGAATTGCCTTGGACAAGTAAACACAACATGCACATCCACACAATAAAACATTCACTGGTCCTGATAAAATATGAAAATATCAAATATACAATCATACGAAATGGTCATTGTAAAAACGCACTGCAGCTGGAATAAAAGAGTTCCTAAAACGTTCAGTGGAGCACCGGGGCATTAACATTCGCCCACTGAAAGAGCTCCCGAGATCCTTAAAAATCTGGTGAAGGGGGAGATCCTCCAGAGACATAACTGTCTTAAGTTTACTCTTCATCCTTTTGTCGATGATCATGTCAAATGAGTCCAAGCCTTGCCCAACCACTGAACCAGATTTCTTGATCATTTTGTTGATCCTGTTTTTGTCCTCAGCAGCGAGGCTCCTGCCCCAACACAACACAGCATAAAACAACACACTGGCCATAATCCCCTGATAAAACACATTCAAGAGCCTCCTACTTATATCAAAAGATCTTAGCTTCCTAAGAAAAAACAGTCTGGACTGGGCCTTTTTAACAAAAGCATCACTGTTCCTTTTCCAGTTTAACTTATCGTCGAGGTACACCCCTAGATATTTATATGTCTCCACAGTTTCTATAGGCTGGCCTTTGATGACCACTGGAAAGAATGTTTGTTTTTTCTTTCTAAAATCAATAACCAGCTCTTGTGTTTTGCCAACATTGAGCTGTAGAAAATTTGCATCACACCATCTAACAAAGGAGTTAACTTCCTCCCTGTAAGCCAGGTCGTCACCCCGGGAGATCAGGCCCAGTAGGGCAGTGTCATCGGAGAACTTCTGTAAGTGACAAGATGGTGAACTGTGCCTATAGTCAGCTGTATACAGTGTAAATAAAAAAGGAGATAAAACTGTCCCCTGTGGTGCACTAGAGTTCGTAAAAATCAAGTCCGAGCACTTACCCCCAACCCTCACAAACTGAGGCCTGTTTAAGAGATAGTCTAAAATCCAGGCAGTGGTGGAATTGTGCAGCTTAAAATCCAATAACTTATTTCCTAAAATATGGGGCTGAATGGTATTAAAAGCACTAGAAAAATCAAAGAACATAAGTCGCACTGAACTGCTGGCTTTTTCAAGGTGTTTATAAATAATGTCCAGCAGATACAGAAGGGCATCATCCACACTCACACCCTTCCTATATGCAAATTGCAAGGGGTCTTGGAAGGAAACAACTTGTTCTCTTAGGCATTTAAGGACAATTCTCTCAAAACATTTCATTAAATGTGATGTCAACGCAATAGGCCTAAGATTGGACAACGTACAGCTGACACCTGTTTTCTTAGGGATCGGCACAAGACAAGAGGTGTAGGAGACTATCTTCTATCAGAAGCTACTGCAGGAGATGGGTGTAGGAGACTATTTTCATGTTCAGCCTGCATGAAACACTCAGAGTGACCCGTTAGAGTCAGAGACAAACATTAAAAATGGTTTTCAGTGTTCCACACCTTAAAGGACGCAGAAACTTACGGACTTTTTTCATCTAAGTTTTGCTTTTGTTCTTCCTGACGTTCCGCCTGTCTTCAGGGAAAACCAGGAGAAGATGATCTACTACCTCCTGCTGGATAGAAAGGAGCGATACCCCAGCTGTGAAGACGAGGACTTGCCACCTAGGAATGACCTGGGTGAGAGAAGTGTTTTGATTTTTCACCTTTGTTTCCATGATTCTGGTTTCGTTCATCGACTGTCTCGCCCACCAGAAGCCCGCTTTCATTTCCACGTTTGAGTTGTGGTTGTTTTTGTCTCTAAAGACCCCCCCAGGAAGCGCGTGGACTCCCCCATGTTGACTCGGCACAGCCGCTGTGGTCCAGTCAGGAAGAGCCTGGAGGTCCTTAGTGTCACCGATCAGGGGTCTCCCACCCCACCGCGCAGGGCTCTGGATACGAACGCACACAGCCAGAGGTACAAACAGATGCTACAGGTGAGACGGGAAACGTGAGAATCTGGTGCTAAAGTCCACGTGTCAGCAGTCCAGCTCAGACTGAGAGACCATCTAAAGGCTCAGGAACCCCCAGCAGCTGTTCTGGACCCATCAGCTGATCAGAGTGGGACACTAGAATATTCGACCTTTTCACAATATGCCGGAGATGTCGACTGTGGGGTTTTCCTCAGCTGTAAGCCACGATAATCACAGTTAGAACGGATAAACACCTGGATGTGCCTCTCATAGGCTAGTTTCACCTTTGCACCAGATTCTAGTTTTCCGGTTTTCCCTGTAGGTGAGGCGTCCGCCTCGGGCCGGATTGGCTTCAGACACGGCAGAATGTATTCCCTCTGTTGAACCTGGAATATGTTTAATCCCTCTGTGCTCTCCTGCGAAGGTCCCGCTCGGTCAGCGGAGCATCTACCGGTCTGTCCTCCAGTCCTCTCAGCAGTCCCAAGGTAAGAACGTCAGCACAGCTCAGCTCTGCATCCTCTACTCGGTCTTCTAGGGTTGATCTGGGCTTTTCTGGGAACGTCGTCGTGCCCGGCTCTCTGAACAGCCACAGAGTCTCACCAACCTAAAGTTAGCTGAGTCAAACCCAGAGTACGGTTTATCCAGGCTGAGGTTGTTCCAGGAGGATCTGAAGCCGGTAAGATCGGTTCAGCAGAGGATGTGGGCCGTTGTCTGTGCTGACTTTGGTTTACTCCAGTTATTTATTAGTTTGTGCGTCTCTGATGTCCGATCAGAACAAACAGGTTCTTTTACGAAGAGCCGCTCAGAACCATCTTCTGTAGACGAGGAGGGAAGTCTCGTCTGACTAACATCTACCAGCGGGTCCCGCTTTCCTCTAGAAGCAGCTCTGTGTTCACGTGTCTTCAGTCTCATGCACCAACATCACTTTTGTCCATCAAACCAATTCCCTGTGACGTAACCATAGTAACGGTGGCTCAGTCTGTCCCTGAAACAGTCCCATTCTCATTTCAGACACGTGCTGTTGCGTCATACGAGTGTGTGTGTGTGTGTGTGCACGAGCTAGCCGATTAGGGATGTCCAGATCCATCAGTCATCTTTCATGACCATTGCTTCCTGTTCCATCTGTCCACATCCCTCTCCCTCCCTTTTCCCTCTTTCTCTGTCCGTCCATCAGAGTCCAGTCTTCACGTTCAGCCAGTCAGAGGTCCCACCCCCCAGAGACTCCAAAGCAGGAAGTGCCACCGCCCCTCGGCCCGCTCGTCCAGCGCCCGACCCAAAGACCCAGACCTTACCCTCCAAGGGCCCCACCGACCGGCCCCAGCTCCACTCCATGAAGTCCCTCCCCCTCCAGACACCACGCTCGCCTTCCCCCTCCCCCGTGCTGTCCCCCACCCCACGCTTCTTCAACTTCCCCTCTCCATCCGTCTTCAGGTCCAAAAATGTCCACTCGTCCTCTAACTCGTCTGCCACCCCCCCTCCTGTGTCGCAGGTCACGCCGCAGGGCTCACCGCTGCCCACCCCGCTCGGCACGCCCGTGCACCAAATACAACACCCTTCCTCCACCACCCCTCCCTCCTCCTCTTCCTCATCTTCTTCTTCCAGAGTGGATGGAGCGGGCGGAGCCTCGGTGCCGCTCACCCCGCCCTCCAGCCCAGGTGGAAGTGGAGGGTTGTCCAACTCGAGCTCCACCCACTGGAGAACGAGGCTCAACTCGTTCAAAAACAACCTGCTGGGCTCGCCGCGCTTTCACCGGCGTAAACTGCAAGGTGACTACCACGCCAGCCACAAAGATGCCGTAGCCTGCTACGGTTAGTGCCGCAGCTGAGGGCTGAAGCCGCAGTGACTTCCATCGGTGTCACATTAGCCGAGCCGAGTCCAAACGGAGGCTGTGTGCTCCGGCCTGCAGCTGGCGAGCGACTAATGCTTCTGTGATTATCTACAATTAAGGCAACTAAATGAGTCTGTCGTCGAGATTCACCGTCCTGTTCTGCCTTCTCCTCCCTTCTTTCTTCTTCTATGTTTGTGTTTTCAGTCCCTACATCAGAGGACATGTCCAGTCTGACTCCGGAGTCCAGTCCAGAGTACGTACCCTTTCCTTTCTTTGGTTCAGGTGACCAGGTGAGACGGCGCGGCATTTGGACCCTTTAGCCTACAGGGGGTGAAGCGCGTAAACCTTTAGTTTCCTTAAGCTCCGCCCAGCGGGGGAAGAAAGGCAGCCGTGAGGGAGCTCGGTGGATTTTAGTTGGTAAAGGAGGAGCAGGTGAATGTGAGGCAGGTAAAAACATAAACCTGGCCTGCAGCGCTCAGCGGGAGAGGTTTCTGGAAAGTTCAAATGAAAGGAGTCATCTCAGTGAGAACAGCACGAGGTAGGATGGTGTTGGCTTTGGCAGTCAGGGTGGTCCTGTTGGGTGCTGAAGTGCTCTGCCCTGAAGACCACTTCACATAATAAGGGCAGCAGCAGATGTAGGTTTGATCCCAGATTCTGCCAGAATATTCTGCTGTTGTGTCCTTGGGCAAGGCACTTTGCCTGCTGGTGGTGGTCGGAGGGACCGGTGGTGCCTGTGTACGGCAGCCTTGCTTTAGTCAGCGTGTCCTAGGGCAGCTGTGGCTACATCGTAGCTAATCATCACCAGCATGTGAATGGATGAATGACTGATAGGCAGCCTAAGTCACGCCCATCTACCTGCGGACCGGACGGTCGGGTCCCTGGAAGAACGAAACGGTGAACGCAAGTCAACGAGGCTAAAACGCTATTTTCTAATTCTGCTTGTTTTGTGCCATGGATTTCATGTATGATGTCCGTGAATCTTAAACACACATTTTGATACCAAAAACTCGCTTATTCTCCAAAGGTGGAAATGCTATAATAGGTGTTGTGTGAAAATAAGTCCAGGACTACAAACGCGCTTCACGAAAACTGAGGGAAAGGGGCTGTAAGTTCAGCAAACTTCAAAATCTTCCTTCAGGAGGAAAGAACCATCATGAATCTGGTCGTGTGGTGAGTAGCAGCCACGCTAGGGGGGAGGAGCTTATGTGGTGATGTCACAAATGCAACGTGTTGATGTCTGATTTGTAGTCATGCTAACAAACTTTTACAAGCTGATAAATCTCAAAGTACGTGACTGGCGTGGTCGAGACACCATCATTAGTTTTCATTGAAGCTGAAGTACAACATATGTGTGATCCAGGGTCTGAGGCGAAGCGGGTCAGAACAAAGCGCTTTTAGCTCCGTTGACTTCCGGAGACCCGTGAGCTGACCAGAAAGGGAGGAGACTTAGGCTCTCTATTGTGTTGTGAAGTGCTGTGTGTGTGTGTGTGTGTGTGTGTGTGTGTGTGTGTGTGTGTGTGTGTGTGTGTGTGTGTGTGTGTGTGTGTGTGTGTGTGTGTGTGTGTGTGTGTGTGTGTGTGTGTGTGTGTCGGGCCATTTACCAAGTTAACCACTTCTCCCGCCTATTGGCCGAAAGTGGAATTACTGCTGTCGTAAACAACCCTGCAGCAGCCTGCTGTAGCTAGCGCTGGTAGCTATCATTGGGCTAATGCTAACATGAGCTAACTGATTAGCCACGAAGCTAAAAGATCCACACTGTTGGACTGTTACTCATCCAGCAGCAACAAAGCCAGGCCACAACCAGATCTTGTTTTCGTAGCCTCCCCCAGCGACTGTAATCTCTGACTTTTACCTCCAGGCTCCACCATGAATCCAGAAAATAGCTAAATTCTCCTTCTTATTGTGCTTTTTATTGGCATTTGTCAATCTAAAAACGCTAACTGCTATCCTTTATATTAGCTACTGGCACTGTAAACAGCTACTACTGTACAACAGGTGGAGCGCTCCCCCTAGTGTTCCTACCCAAGCCACACAACTGGTTTCAGGTCAACAGAGGGCTGTCCAATGGGAAGTTGATCCACTTAATAAAAACCTTGAATAACACCGACCTTCATTTTGGTATCAGTTCTTTGAAAATGGCTCTTAAGACTTTCTGTGTTTAGACTCACACGTTATTCCTTCAAGTGATTTCTCAGAACCTAGTGTTAAAAACAATCCCACATACTTCTTAGGTGTGTTCTTGCTGTGTCTTTCTAAATCCATGCTTTCGTTCTTTTTTAAACACAGAAACAGTTTTGTTTACCTGTTTGTAGCTACAGTTTCGCCGACGGCTGCCGGCTTCTTCAGGCTGACGCTGATGGTGGCGTCACTTCCTTCTCCGTTTATCTGCGGGCAGCAGAGGACGTTGTCGCCCTCTACTGCCCGCTCTCCCCTCTCCGACGATGCAGTCCCATGCGTGGTCCAGCGTGTAAACTCCATCGTCCCTGTTCATGGTCCCACATCCACGTCTCCTTATCTCTATTGCTTCCTTGATCCATCTTTTGTATTTTTGTTGTTCGGTGGTTATGATCCGTGTGCTGTCCCAGTCCATTATATGGTTTTCTCTTAAGCAATGATCTGTTACGGCTGACTTTTTTATTGTACTTTCTGCTTCTTCTTTTGCTGCTCTTGTGTGTTTACGATTTGCCTCTTTCTCGCACTCCTTTCTGTGTTCTATTGTCCGTGTATTGAGTTGGCGTCCGGTTTCTCCTATGTATGTTTTATTGCATATTTTGCATGGGATTTCGTAGATGACTCCACATTTTTGTCCAGCTGATATTTTGTCTTTTGGGTGTACTAATCTGTTTCTAACTGTTGTGTATGGCTTTGTTGGTGTGTTTATGTTGTGTTTTTTCATTGTTGCTCTTATTTTTTCCGTTATGCCTCTGATGTATGGTAGGGTTATCACTGGTTCTGGTTCTTGTCTTTCTGGGTTTCTGGTTCTTTTCAGAAAGCAAAGAACAACCCAAAAAAAGAACCAGAAACCCAGAAAGACAAGAACCAGAACCAGTGATAACCCTACCATACATCAGAGGCATAACGGAAAAAATAAGAGCAACAATGAAAAAACACAACATAAACACACCAACAAAGCCATACACAACAGTTAGAAACAGACTAATACACCCAAAAGACAAAATATCAGCTGGACAAAAATGTGGAGTCATCTACGAAATCCCATGCAAACTCTGCAATAAAACATACATAGGAGAACCCGGACGCCAACTCAGTACACGGACAATAGAACACAGAAAGGAGTGCGAGAAAGAGGCAAATCGTAAACACACAAGAGCAGCAAAAGAAGAAGCAGAAAGTACAATAAAAAAGTCAGCCGTAACAGAACATTGCTTAAGAGAAAACCGTGTAATGGACTGGGACAGCACACGGATCATAACCACTGAACAACAAAAATACAAAAGATGGATCAAGGAAGCAATCGAGATAAGGAGACGTGGATGTGGGACCATGAACAGGGACGACGGAGTTTACACGCTGGACCACGCATGGGACTGCATCGTCGGAGAGGGGAGAGCGGGCAGTAGAGGGTGACAACGTCCTCTGCTGCCCGCAGATAAACGGAGAAGGAAGTGACGCGCCACCATCAGCGTCAGCCTGAAGAAGCCGGCAGCCGTCGGCGAAACTGTAGCTACAAACAGGTAAACAAAACTGTTTCTGTGTTTAAAAAGAACGAAAGCATGAATCCCACATATTGATGCCGTCACTGCCGTGCTTGCATATGGAGAGGGCGTTCATGTATAATATTTGGCGTTGTAATCCCAAGGTTAGATTTGTGTGTGTGTCTGTTCTGTAACCATTGCAGGCTGGCCAAGAGGTCTTGGTTTGGTAACTTCATCAGTCTGGAGAAAGAGGAGCAGATTTTTGTGCTAATCAGAGACAAACCCCTCAGCTCCATCAAGGCAGACATCGTCCACGCCTTTCTCTCCGTGAGTGCCGTCACGCTTTGGCTCACTTTGTGTGTGCAGTACCGTTTGATTCTGGGACTCCATCTTCTTCACCTCCACAGATTCCTTCCCTCAGCCACAGTGTGGTGTCTCAGAACAGCTTCCGGGCAGAATACAAGTCCTCGGGCGGTCCCTCTGTCTTCCAGAAGCCTGTCAAGTTCCAAGTATTGCTTCCTTCTTTAATGTCTAACAGAGTTCCCATTGATGTTGGTGGAAATCACCGAGCTCAGTTCCATTAAAGTTTAACCTGTATCTGTTTTAGGTGAAGACATTTAGGGGTCCGTTCATATATAAACTCTTGGTTTTAGACCAACCCACTCCAGTTGTGAGCTCTCCTGCTCATGAAGTTTAAAGCATACGTACCACAAAGGTTTGACTTTTTCTGCAGGTAGACATCGCCTACTCTGAGGGAGACAGAGAGCGAGAGAGGGAACGAGCAGAAAGAGAAGGACGACGAGAGATGGGCATCTACAGCGTCACCTTCTCTTTACTGACAGGTGGGAGGCTAAAGGAGAGGCAACCTCGCCCGGACACACAGCAACCACCCAAACGCTGACTTTGTTTTATTAAACTCAGATCAAATGAATTAAATCAGTTCAGAAACACAAGACTGTCAGAGTCCAGGTTGTACCAAACACGTGGTAAATTCATTCAGTTAGCCTGTAGGTTGTTGAGCAACGGACAGTTCAGAGGTGGATCATAGCTGACATACCATACGTCCATGCTAAAGGCCGCTAGCTTCTGCGGCTGCAATAGTCTCCTGCAGGTCTAAAATGTCGAGATTTGAGGCTAAAGATCTTGGTAAACGACCTGTATTTGATATAGCGCCTTCTAGAGTCCAGGAACCCCCCAAGGCGCTTTACAACACAGTCATTCATCCATTCACACACACATTCACACCCTGCCCTGTGGCACCCTGACGGAGGCAAGTCTGCCATACCCACCGGTCCCTCTGACCACCACCAAAGTCAAAGTCAAGTCAAAGTCATTTTTATTGTCATTTCTACCACATGTGCAGGACATACAGAGAAACGAAATTGAGTTTCAGCACACACAATTCAAAGATCAGACATACGTGGGTAAGACACATGACAAGAATTGGTGACTGCGGTCATTCGCAACGTGAGTCGTGCTACCTTAATAGATAGATGAAAAGGGTGTAGCATGAGGATAAGTGGGGGTAGGTAAAAAAAGACATAGCAGAGTTAGCCCCAGCGGGGAGTAACTCTATTATACAAAAAAAAAAAAAACTCCTTTAAACATGGATGCACAAACAGCACAGATACAACATCAGAGTCCGATGGGGAGGCGGGGATGGGCGGGATCCTGAAGCCTCCAATGGGAGCTGCCACTGCGGCGCATCGACCAGCTGCAGACCAACAGGTGGGAGGGAGAGATAAGGACCAGAGAGCACATTGAAGTTCCCGCAGACGTCTCAATCTGAAGGAAGAGGGTGAAGGTCGGGACACAGCATCTGTCGGCATTCCTCTTTTCGTGGGGGTGAGTTGAGGCAGCCTTGAGAGGCTGCTGTGGCGTCAGATAAGAAGAAACATGACTTTGTTTAGGGCAGGCAGAGATAATTTTCCTCTCCGCCTTGGAGTCTCTAAGTGGTCATTCTTGTCCACCAGTGAAGCCAATTTTACATTCCACATCCCCGCATCGTCCGGCGACCCTCTCCGAGATCAAATCCATCTTGCGTACTATCACAGGCAATGCCGCGAGGACATTGTCCAGCTTACGGTTCACCTCGAGTAACGTCCCAGTCTGTGAGGTCACCGCACGAGCTGCACATTCCGTGGGCACGGGTCGCACTCCAATCGCTCCCGGCTTCCCAAATTTCCAGAAAACCAGATATCCTCCCACTCCAATCAGAAGAAATCCAGTGATCATTAGGCCGAATATCCACAAATCTTCCACGTCCTCGATGGACAGCTGAGAGAGGCACACGATTCGCCAGACCTCCCAAGAATCGAGTGCATATCCCGATGCGAATGTCCCCTCGGGACAGGTGGGAGCCCCCTTCTCCGTTCTCATCGTAGAAAAAATTTTGTCAATCGCGTTGAATGACCAGTTAATTAAGTCCATATTTCCAAAGAAGAGTAGTGGTTTCAGGAGAAATGCAGAGAAGTGCTCTGTAGGCAGACGGGACAAGAGCCTTGGGGAAGCCGATAAGGGAGCTGAGAAAAAAGCGTCTGTACTCTCTGAAGGCTGAGAAGGAAAAAAAAAAGAAGAAAAAAAAAGGGGCATACAGGCAAGGGGGGGTTAAGCGTCTTGCCCAAGGATACAACGACAGCAACAGACCGAGCGGGACTCAAACCTGCAACCTTCCGATTACGGGGCGAGCACTTAACTCCTGTGCCGCCGCCCTCCTTAACAGATTCGTTTTGATTATTTATTTTTGTTTGCATTTGTCAAAGATGAATGCTTTGTTGTGGAAGCTTAGCTCAAAGTCAGGGAATGTGTTTGGTTGGGGTTAGGGTTAGACTAGGCTAGGCTAGGCTAACCCTAGCATTGGAAAATCACTGAGGGTTGGATGGGAGACGCCGTCCCACACCATCACCTTACCTCCACCAAAGGTGGCTTCCAATCATCCAATCCAACGAAGAGTCAAACTAGAGTGAACTAGGAAGTCTAAAAGTCCACCGGCCTGTTTTCCCGCAGGTCCTAGTCGCAGATTCAAGAGAGTTGTAGAAACCATTCAAGCTCAACTTCTCAGCACCCACGATCAGCCTTCAGTGCAGGCACTGGCAGGTGAGCGACCCCCACACAGGTCACAGGAGTCTATGGCACGACTGTTCCATAACCACACTTACCCTTTGTCTTCCAGACGAGAAGAACGGCCACCTTTCCCGTCAGCCTGGTGGTCCGTCTCGTCAGAACTCGCGGCATTCTGAGGCTGGATCAGATGGAGTGGAAAAGGACCGCGTGGTTGATGGGGTGAGCTCCAGCTGCAGCGGCGGTTCTGCCTCACAACGGCGAGAGCCAGAGAAAGGAAACGCCAGACTCCCGTCGTCGTCCAATGGAACGCAGTCTCATGAATGATCCAACAAGCTTCTCTCTCCTTAACCACTTGGTCACATTGTTTCCTTACTTCCTCTTACACTTCCCACCTTTTTCCCAAGCAATGGGAAAGCGGGGAGGGGTCTGCTTTCGAGCTAATCTATGGATCTGACTCCAAAGCACGTCTGATGTGAAGTCAGGCTTTAAAGGCGCCTCAGCCTCCCTTAGAGTGGTGTCAGAAATACTCCACCTCACCACAGAAGGACCAGAAACCATGACCTCTAGTTGTCTCGCCACTGCAGCCAACCAGGAAAGCACACGACATTTCCACCGCCCAATCACGCGCAACATTTGCTGCAAACGTCGAAGGAAACCTTCAAATCAGTCAGCATGGCTCAGGATGACGTCAGCCACTTCCTGAATGCATCAAAGCATTTCGATTCGTCATTTCCTGGTCGTCCACCGAGTCGCTGACAGGCTGCTCCTTTCCTCTCCTCACTCTCCGCTTATGGACAACGGTGTTTTCTCACGCAGAGGAACTACGCCAGGTCAAAAGGCCAAGAGTTGCACGAGTTTTGATTGTTTAAAGTTGATTGTGTCCATTAGTAATTAGCTGAGCTAATGAGTGAGTGATGAGCTCACCCGGTCACCGAGGAAGCAACAATCTGAGGACGGCTGCAGAGCAGAAGAACAAAGACATAACAGCTCTGAGTATTTCAAAGTAAGACAACTTTTGTTGAAGTGAATGAAGCCCCACATTTATTTTCGAGTTCCAACAATAAAGCTACGATACCACGTTGCCTTTTTCGGAGGAGGAACAGTGGGTAACTGCTTGGATTCATCCCCATTTTGAAGAAAAAGGTCCCACTACAGGACGAAACGCTTGCTGGACGAGAGGGAACATCTATAAAAGATGGATGGTCCGCGCTGTACCAGAGAAATAAAGGATAAGAACAAGTTTTACAAGATTCAGATCGAAACACACAGAATGGCTCGATGTTCGCTCTAGCTCTAGCTTTAGCTTTAGCTCTAGCTTTAGCTGCTCCACATGCTGGTCGAAACCCAAACGAGGTGGATTCTCCAACAGCTAGGAAAAGGTTTATTCTGCTCTAAATGAGTGGTAAGGAGGGCTAAAAGGTGGTTTCATGACCACTAAACCCCTCGCACCTGCTCACCCAAGAGCAGCAACCCAATCAAAGCCGCCGTTCCGGATTTAAACACAATAACAACCAAATCTCACGTAAAGTCTATACACACGTCAGCAGCTTTCTGTTTTCCCTCCTCAGCCCAGATCTCACCGGGCTGAGGCTGCTAGTGACTAAATCTAAATGACGTTTGCAAAGAAGTCCCAAAATGTTTGTGGAAGTTCTCCATTTCCTCTCGATAATCACGGCGTCTCACTTTTCTGTTGCAAGGATTTTGAAAGTAATCAGAGAAATTACAAGACAAACGTTGTCTCGAAATAGCTGCAGAGCTGCTGTGTGCATTTAAAACCTTCCCCTAAGCTGTTCTGGTCCAGCATGAGACGTTTGGGGGGGGGTTGGTGACTGAATTTCTCATCAAATCTGTGTAAACGGAGACTTAGCTGGTGGATTCAGTGTGCTTCCAACTGAAAAGTTGTGTTTGTCTCACAATGCTGTGTCTCCAGCTAGAGACCAAAGGTCATCTGGGACCTTTAAACCTGTCCTAAATATTCGAAGGGTTCTTAATTCCTCCATGTGAGTCTCTCAGGCCTCTCTGATTTGTCACTGGGCTTTTGGATGAGTTGATAAATCCTGGTAAACAAACTGCGATGGGATTGCCCGTGCCCAGAACACAACCAGTTTAGTTGTCATGAGATGGAAACTGCTGGGCGTGTGACACATTCAGAAAGGACTGACCGTTTGGCGAATTGCTCGACCATCAGCTCGTTTCCTGCTCACCCTGGTTTCACACTGCAAGCATCAGCGGAACGGAGCAGCGGCGGAGCAGTTCCCTCGCTAACTTCAAAGCGGTCCCTTTCACACCGGGAGAGTGTTGGCTGCGGCGCGGCTTCCTCGCTGCGCCTCGCTGTACCCGCGAGATTCTAAAATCCCTCGAGACTTCCGACACCTTCCTCGTCGAGAGATCACAACCCCCGCGAGGAATCGCACCGCGTGCTGACGTAAGTTATATACAACATCGCACCATTGCATTTTATTTTGAAAAACTACGGGATTTTAACACTGAAACTGTGTGGTTTCCTGTCTCGCACTATGTGAACTGCGGAAATTGACGTGTCCCAGAAGCAGCTTGCGGAAAAAACAGAACTCAATCCTATCTTTACCGGCGTGACGCGACATGCCGCTTCTGGGGTGCGCCTGGAAATTGTCGCTTCGCGGCTGGTTTGAAACACTCCATAGACTACTTACGCCGGGGACACACCGGCCGCGAAAGTGCCACGAAGCGCCGCGAAAATGGGACCGCCTTCATTCGGCGCCCTTGTTAAGCTATTCTATAGACCACATGGGCCGCCGAAGCGCCGCGAATCGCCTTGCGCCGGCGCTCCAGCCCGCGCCGTGCAGCGATCATTTCGGCGTCGGCTCTATTTTTTTCGCGAGCCGCGGGTGAATCGCGTCAATTCTGGCAGGAAGTCAAACCTAGACATAAGAGGCAGGCCGGTAAAGTTAACAAAATAAAGCATTTCAAAATAAAATTCCGCAATAGTCAAATGTGTTCGTAATCAGATACTGCAGAAAAACCACACGAACACACACACACATACACACACATCGAACTTGTGTGCGTGTGTGACCACGTGAAGGGATGTGTGGTTTTGGGTGTCTTTTCACCGGAGCAAACAGGACAGAGAGGCAGAAAGTCTGAGGCAAGCAGTTAGGATGGATGACTTTAAATGAATTATGGAAGTTGAGAAACACAAGGAGCTGTACGACCCCCGAAAAACATGATTATTTACGTACCCATTTAGGAAGAAACTGCTAGGATACAGCTGCAGAATTGGAGCGGGTTCCAAGAGATTCAACTGGCAGAAACAACCATAGGTTCACACACACACACATGTACAAACACTCAAACGTAGGAAAAGAGCTGAGAAAAGGCAAAGAGGAAATGGAGGACACCAAGTGTTTAAAAGAAAAACTACAGCTGAGTCGAGGCGCGCCTCGACTGGGGCACGTCTGATCTGAACTCAGCAGCGACCGAATTTCGTGAGCGATTCGCTTCTCGGCGCTTCCGCGGCCGGTGTGTCCCCGGCGTTAAAGCGTACCGCTTCGCCGCCGTTCCATTCCGCTGATGCTTGCAGTGTGAAACCCATCAGGAATATCGCTTGGAAGTTTTTGATGTATTGCCCAACCCTCATTGGCGACTGCATTGTGAATTAAGCACGGTGAAACAGCAAAGAGCTTCGATTGCTTTGCTAGAAAAGGCACAACAACAGAAACTACCAACTTTACTAGTATTATGTCATCTAACAGAAAACGGCGAAAACACAGAAAGTCTTTTCATTTGTCTCATTTTCAACTGATGATGGTTCCGTTAGGAGAGAGGAGGTCCAAACCCGTCCCCTCCCCCCGCCGCACCTGGGTCAGGCTTTTGGGTTAATGAAAGATGTCCACAACATCATAAATAACCCTTCCTGGGTTCAAATGGACGTGAATGCAGATCATTCCTCGGCTGAATTAAAAGGGTAAGTCACAGAAAAGTGGAGCTAGTTTGGCTAGTTAGGGCCCTTTACCCGTTTGATGACGCAAACACAACCACCGTTACATGATTGTTATTTTACCTTCGTCTCAGTTGTCCAAAGGCTTTGCGATGACAGAAAGACCAGGGCACATAGAGAGTCCCTCACCTGGTCAACAGCTCAGGTCGGTGTGGTCGTCTCTGCTCTTAAACAACCGGGGAAAGCAAACGAAGCCAAACTGAGCAACAAGACGCTGTTCTTGTCTTTCTGATGGTCCGGTCCTTGTGTCCAGCCTGTGTTTCCGTTAGAGGAGGGCCATAACCTCACACGAATGTCTGAAAACACCTGCACCCGCACCTGCGTCGTCTTTGGGTGACCATGTTTGTTTTGGTGTAAAGAACTTGATGATGCAGAAATAACTGAATTCAGAGAAACGGACGCTTTAAAAGCTTCATGTTGTTTTTGTTTCCTGTTTAGTTTGGATTTTGTTGTTTTATTTAGTTAACATTATGTTAAATGTTTACCCATTATAATACAGAACCAAAACCTCACACACACTCCTTCACACAATAGCCTACACACACACACACTCCTTCACACAATAGCCTACACACACACACACACACACACACACACACACACACACACACACACACACACACACACTCCTTCACACAAACTATTTATTTATTTGCTTTTATTTATTTTTGAAATTGTTGGAAGGTTTTATGATTAGTTTGAAGATGTGTTCAGTAGCCTACACACACACACACACACACACACACACACACACACACACACACACACACACACACAGAGGCATCTCTTCATCCCTATCCGGCGTTTCGAGGGTGTTGGTCGGTCGTTTCGATGCTCGGAGATACCTTTATTGTCCTGCTTGGTGCCCACTGAGACAGCAGGTGAACCAGTCTGTTGTTTTCTGGAACATGGGCTAACGTGGACCGTCTGGACTTCTGCCAAACTCATTTTCTCTCGTGGTTAGCTTTGTTAGCATGCTTGACAAACATTAGCTTTGTTTGCACTCTGTGCATTTGAATGTTGACGTTAAAGTTTAGCTCCAAGCTCAGCTGAACCGAACTAACAGAACTGCCATGAGTTTGGGTTTATTCATTCAGGTCCCTTTAACGTAGTAGTTGTCGTGATCTGTGGAGGCCATGCAGGTTTCAGGTGTGGTCCAGAGCCTGCAGGAGGACAATCCAACCATCTTATCTGCAAAAGTGCAGGAAAGCGCCTGAAATGTTCAGAATCCTGCAGCGATTCACGTTACAGTGAATAAATATTCTTTAATAATGCAATCACAATTATTTTATTTAGTATTATTTCTTTAGGACTTAGGTCTGGACGGGTCTATACCTACTTTTCTGACTCTGTTGCCTTTAAGCTTTTTTCTCTGTAACAGTTGAGGCTAAACATTCAATTAGCAATCACTTAAAAAGTGATTGGCATTAGAGCCCAATAATAATAACGTCACTCGTATTAATTTAAACTGCTAAAAGACAAAGGCGCTCCACTTTTGTAGAACCGAGCTAATGGACGCTTGGTTGCACCTTTAGTGAAGTTGCGGAGATGTGACATCACTGCAACAGAATTGGACAGTTGGTGGTCCATGACTGAAACTAAAATAGCCGTTACAGATAGCTCACACGTTCCCAGCTGACTCTACGCCTGAACTGGTTTCAGCAGAACTTGACCTCCAATTTCAAGATTAAATAAAATGTTTTTGAACATTTTGTCCGATAAATGTACCCGAGACTCAGCGGACGTCTTCTTGAGGCCTTTGTGGGAGAAGTCTCTACAGAAGGTCTTCGCCCCGTGCTTCGTTTAGCGTACGGGTGTGGACAGCTCTGTGTTCCCACCCTGGAGCTCACCGTGTGCAGGACTCCAGCGGGACGCTGGCTGGTTGTGACGTGTGCCCGTGCACGCTAGAGCACACACGCACGCAGCTAAAGCTCAGAATGGGTTCCACTTTTAGAACAAACTCATGAAGGCTAGCCATGAAAAACGGCCAAAGCAGAAAGCATATTCATCCTGTACCCCCCCCCCCCCCCATTTCACCTCTTTGTATTTCCATGTCATGCCCCCCTCCCCATGCACATACCTTAACTTATATAATCACCTCCTGTATCTGTTTCTACTGTGTATTGTTTGACCCGGAGGCTGTATACAGTAGTATACACCATGAGCCTGTCTGTCTCCATTCATATCTATGTAGCGTTCCCCATGTTTTATTCTACCTGTAGTCACCCCACCGCCTCCTCCGCTGGTCTCAGCTCTGCCACCCATGTTTCTCACACCCTCGCTCCATTACACACACCCCCCCCCACACACACACACACACACACACACACTCCATAGAAGAAAGACTTTTTCCCACACTAAACAAATGACGTCATTTGGAGTAGGAGGCGTGTGGACGGGGTGGATGATCAGCCCACGTGATTACTGATGAAGAAATGTCTGTAATTCTGTTACAAAAAGAAAAAGTGCACTATTATGACTATGATCATTATTGCCTGTGAGAAATTCTGTCCAATAAACAACAGAAGTATGTTTGATGTCTGTTTTACTGCCCAGTCATAAGGAGAGCCGAGAACTAATCGTTTCCAACACCTGGAACATCTGGAATCCGTTCTTTAGAAGCTTGAATAGAGAAAACCCTGCAGGCAGTTTTAATTATTTTAATGAGGTTAACAGCAGCAGGTCCGGACCTTGGTGTCTTCAGTGCTAGATCACATGACCTTGAGTGCTGTTTGGGTATGTTTGTGCTTTCTCAGTAACAGCGAAGTGAACGTGTAATAAAGGATGTGACCCTCAGAAACACAGGAGGTAAATGCATTCTCCAACCAACTCCTTTACACGCCCATGAAAATCTGGGCTCTCTTATTGGCCGACCCTCTTCAAACTTCTGCTCTCTTTTTCTCTGCTGTTAACGTTTTCTTTGGGTTTTTCTACATCCTAATATTATTTTGGGACACGATTGATCGTTGGATGTTGAGCACCTAAAAATAAAGTTTTTGAGCCGTGAAAGGCAGATCAGGAGCCCGAGTCTCCTCCCTCTCCAGTTGGCTCACGGGTCCCTGAACAGAGCCAAGAGCTGTTTTCTAACCCGCTTTGCCTTACGCCCAGAATCACACACGTGTTGTATTCCAATTTATATCAAAAGTAATGATGAGTGTTTCGGCCACGCCTTCACATACTTTTATCTGTTTGTGAAAATTATTATTTGCTGTGTAAGTCAGGCGTCGGCACGTCGCATATATGACATAATCTCCTGTCCTCTAGCGTAGCAGCTACTTACCACATGGCCTGATTCATGGTGGTTTGGAGGATTCATAGCTCACCAAGCTCACAGCCTTTCTTCCTTTGATTTTGTCCGTGTCTGTTTCAATGACGTCACTTGAAAATAGGCTTTCTTGGCACCAGAATGCATCTTTAAAATTCACAGACATCATATGTGAAATCCGTGGCACGTAACAGACGGGATTAGAAAATAGCCTCTGTAGCTCCATTGACTTGCATTCATGGAAAAAGGAAATCCGACAAACTTGTGAAACCTGGGATTTGAATGACATGTCCTGGTCAAAGATAACACCAAGGTTCGTTACTTTGTTCTCAGAGATTAATGTAATGCCATTAAGGTCAGGCGATTGGCTAAGCAATTTCCTTTTCTGGATTTCTGGTCCAAAGATGAGACCTTCCGTCTTGTCTTGATTTAAAAGCAAGAAGTTGAGTTATCCAATTTTTTATGTCCTCAAGACAAGCCTGTAATCTACCCAACCGATTAGGTTCATCAGGGATAAAGGATAAATATAACTGAGTATCGTCAGCATAACAGTGGAAGTTTATCCCATGCTGTCTAATGATTTTACCAATTGGGAGCATATATATAGTAAAAAGAATTGGTCCAAGCACTGAACCCTGTGGTACTCCACAAGTAACCCTGGAGTATGAAGACGATTTGTCATGTACATTTACAAAATGAAATCTGTCAGACAGGTAGGATTTAAACCAGCCTAGCGCTGTTCCTTTGATCCCTACAACATGTTCAAGTCTTTCTAAAAGAACATTGTGATCAACTGTGTCAAAAGCAGCACTGAGATCTAACAAGACTAGAACAGACACAAGATTCTTATCTGAGGCCATGAGAATATCATTTGTAACTCTCACTAATGCAGTTTCAGTGCTGTGATACTCTCTAAAACCAGACTGAAATTCCTCAAACAGAGCATTAGTGTTTAAATGCTGACATACTTGGATGACCACTATTTTCTCCAGGACTTTGGATAAAAATGGAAGGTTAGATATTGGTCTGTAATTCATTGGGTCATCTGGATCCAGAGAAGGCTTCTTAAGTGAAGGTTTGATTACAGCAACCTTAAAATCCTGTGGTACATACCCATTTACTAAGGATAGATTGATTATATCTAGAATGGGGCCAGTAACCAAAGGAAATGCATCTTTAAATAATTTGGTTGGGATTGGATCCAAAATGCAAGTTGAAGGTTTAGATGAAGCTAATATTTCGGGATGGTACGGCTCCCATCTACCTGAATCCTCTTGCAAAGGCTTACGTCTCGGCCCGGCCGCTCCGGTCATCACAGGATGGTCGGCTAGCAGTGCCTACACCACGCTCAGGACAATCCAGACTCTTCTCATGCATCGTTCCACAAATGTGGAATGACCTACCAAGCACTACCAGAACAGGAGCTTCCTTTTCAATTTACCAGAAACTCCTGAAGACCCTGCTCTTCAGAGAGCATCTTCTAAACTAGCACCCTCCCTGCACCCGTCCCCCCTCTCTACTGTCCACTCCTTGTTCCCTCCTCTCCATGATTGATGTCAAGTTGTTGTTGTTACTATTGTTGTTAGCCTCAAGGGCAACATGCCGATTATCACTTGTAAGTCGCTTTGGACAAAAGCGTCTGCTAAATACGTAAACATAAACATAAGTTTAGGGAAAAATAAATAAATTATTTTTTATAAACTATGTACTGGCTCTGAATTAATACGAAGTGTGTTTATGGTCCCTGAAGAAGCAAAGTAACTAGAATCTTCTGACTAAACATTCAAAGATCAATCAGATCGATATTTCATATTTATATGGAATATCGATCTGATTGATCAATTTAATAAATATGTAGTCAATCATCAACACAGCAGGCAAACATTGTTTTGGTTATATATCGTTGTGTTGTTGGTGCAGCGATATCTTGGTTCTGTTGTATTTTTGTACTCCTTTTTTCCTTTCTGTCTCTCTTTCTGCAGGTCTAGAAGCAGATTCGACCTCTCTTGTTTATTTTTGTGAACTTTCCCCACCTCTTCCTTTACTTCCCCCTTTTTTTAAATTTCCATCTCAAAGTCTGTTGGGATCAAACACAAAACAGCATTTGAATTGAAGTTTTGATATCAGGCGGGCGGGCATCATAGGTGGATCTATATTCTACTAGTTTATAAATCTCTCAATGGCATGAATCCAAAATACACTGTTTGTATTTTAATTTGTGTTTTTATGTAGTTTTCCTATCATATCCTGATAATTGTAAAACACGCTGAATTGCCTCTGTGTTTGAAGCGTGCTCTATTAATGAAGCTGCCTGGCCTATAACTCTTCGCCTGGGAGGGTAAAACGGTGAGGCTTGTTTTTGGCACTCAGACATGAATTCTGATTTCTTTACAGCCAAACAAGACACAGAAATAAGAAAATATACTATTTATAGGTCCAAGTCCCTACTGGAGCAGATACATCTCAAACTGTGAGAGGTTTCTCTGCCATAATATAATAAACCAATGGAAACAACTCAAATGGTTTACGGGGCGCTGTGGACCAGAGTTGAATAGCCCTGGTTTAAATAAAAAAAAAATGGATACAATAAATCCCATTCTATGCAGTTCTAGCCTACACTAAGCCGAAGTCTTTTTCGAGGATAAACTAAAGTGAGTCTGTGTGTTTCTAAAGGTTGTTTGTCAGAAACACAACAGATTTAAAACCTACAAGATAATTCAACGTAAACTAAAGGTCGCTCTTTTCATTGAGAGATCCTTTTACGGCCTACTGTATGGGTTTCCATGACAACCACTTTTTATTTATTTTTATTTATTTTTTTGGAAAATAGGGGCTGCGCAGTGGTTACAGCTGTTGCCTTGCAGCAAGAAGGTCCTGGGTTCGCTTCCCGGCCTGGGATCTTTCTGCATGGAGTTAGCATGTTCTCCCTGTGCACGTGTGGGTTCTCTCCGGGTTCTCCGGCTTCCTCCCACTGTCCAAAAACATGACTGCTAGGTTGATTGGTCTGTCTAAATTGTCCTTAGGTGTGTGTGTGTGTGTATGAATGTTTGTCCTGTGTGTCTCTGTGTTGCCCTGCGATGGACTGGCTCTCTGTCCAGGGTGTACCCTGCGTGATTGCCCGTTGACCGCTGGAGAGAGGCACCAGCCCCCCCCCCCCCCCGCAACCCTGCGTGGACAAAGCGGGCTCAGAAGATAGATGGATGGATGGAAAATAGTACATTTACAAAATTACAATACATTGCAAAAGAGATGAAAGTGATGCAGGAGGAGTAATAATAGTCTTTTCAAGGGCAGATATCGTTCTAATGGCTTTAGGATTGGAACTAGATTTAAGGCATTTTATAGAATTATCTAAAGTAGCTAAGAATGCTTTAAAATTGGGTTTGAGATGCTGAAATTTAAAGGTGTGGATATGATATTTCCCATATATCACAAGCAAATTAGTGATGTACAGTTTTCTGAGTCTTTGAGATCATGTTTCTCAACACCAAACAACATATGCTTTGTTTCTAGTGAGAAAGTTTTGTTCTTTCTACTTAGAAAATTCATCAGGTCGGTCCAAAAGACTTTCGTATAAGTCCAGAACAAGCATAACAGACAGTCATCATCATTTTTACAGAAAGTACACAAGCAGTCCATTATTTATATCTTTTTTGTAGAAAAGCTTTAACCGGATAGCACCTGTGAATAATCTTAAATGATATTTCTTTTATTTTGTTAAACAGTAAATATTTTCTTGGTAGCAACCATGTCCACTTCCAGTCAATGTTTCCATTGATACTTTACTGGTCAACAAAGGTGTTGGACCAGTAAAGTACACCTGCTGGTGAAGGTGCAGCATTTCTCATAACCGTGTTTCTAATGACTTTGTTAGACATGTTGTTGCTTATAAAAAGTAGTCTCAGTCAATAAAAATGTCCATGACGACCGCTTCATTGTCAATGTGGGGGACGCGGTGACGTCATGCGTCGGAGCGAATGAGGCATCTTGTCACGTTCACGCGCTCCTTAACTGTCCCGTGAAGGGAGGGGTGCGAAACTAACGCTTCCATTGCTGCGAGGCGCTGCGGGTACGTTATCTACGTTTTTACTTGATTTGGTTGTTTCATTCCCGCCAAACCTTTGTGAGGTGACTTGTATCCCGTGGGGGACTCGGACGTTTGTGGGGTAACTTGTGTCCCGTGGGGGACTCGGACGTTTGTGAGGTAACTTGTGTCCCGTGGGGGACTCGGACGTTTGTGAGGTGACTTGTATCCCGTGGGGGACTCGGACGTTTGTGAGGTAACTTGTGTCCCGTGGGGGACTCGGACGTTTGTGAGGTGACTTGTATCCCGTGGGGGACTCGGACGTTTGTGAGGTAACTTGTGTCCCGTGGGGGACTCGGACGTTTGTGAGGTGACTTGTATCCCGTGGGGGACTCGGACGTTTGTGAGGTAACTTGTGTCCCGTGGGGGACTCGGACGTTTGTGAGGTAACTTGTGTCCCGTGGGGGACTCGGACGTTTGTGAGGTAACTTGTGTCCCGTGGGGGACTCGGTGGTGGTGTTTCTGCTCCGGACTCGGATGCTGCTGCTGACCGGCGTGGCTCTGGGACTCACGAAGGCGGTTCGCTTGAACTCGGCTGAAGTTAAAGCAGCGGACCTGTTAGGGAACAGCCGGGGTTCGGGGGCTGTTGTTCTCCAAGAGCAGAAAAACAGCTACTAGATTTATTCCGCGGGTTTGTGGAGTCGCACGCGCCTTTCCACCGCCTCCTGCGGGTTTTCTGTGTTTCGTGACGTTTATAGAGGAGTTCTCAAAGATTTGGAGGCCAGTAACCCTTTGTAGCCAGATTCATGGGCGTAATTAAGTGGGTGGGGCAAGGGGGACATGTCCCCCCTAACCTGTAGGCTTCTCTTTATTTTTACTGAAATGAGGGAGGATATGTTATTTTTATGAAGTCTAATTGCCAGACTAAAAATGCGTGTATAATTTGGATGTCCCCCACCCACCACTACTAAAACTATATGTGTCTCCCCACATTTGAAACAGAAATAACTTAATTGGGTTCACCGTGCGTATTTTTCAGGGCGTGCATTACTAAGAAAAGTTTATTTCTATAGCACCCCTCACAGAACAGATGAAACTTTTAGTTAATTAGCATAATGAACGCTGATAAGTAGGTTCAATGGGGCTGTTTGCTTTGTAGAGTGCCTAGAGATGACTTGTTGTTGTTGTTTGGTGCTTTATAAATTAACAAATGAAAGACAAAATACAACATGCTTCACAAATAAATCCACATCAAAATGAATGAAAAATTGATTAAAGGCAAAAAATGTAATAAATCTAAACAAAGAACAATGAAAACAAACAAAAGATATTTAAAAACATTAAGGGTTATAATTCTGTGGATCTGCAGAAATGTCCTAATGTTGCTAAATAATAATAATAATAATGACGCAAAATAAACAAAATCAGTTTTTTATTAAAACGGTCTTGAGCTGCTTCTTAACGTGACCAGACTGTCAATATTACATAAGAATAAAGGAAGTTCTGTTAGCATGACTTAACGACAGAGTGGTGACTTAATTAGTGATCAGCTTATTTACCAGCTGTGATTTTTTTAGGATGGTTTAAAGTGGGAGAATAGTTTGGCTGTATTGAATGTACAAACATTACCAAATAACTGTTAAAATGTTCAGCGAGATCTTGCCGTGAAACATTTTTTATATGATTTTATTTTCCTGTATTTCTCACCTCAGAGTTGCTTAATTGATGCCCGGGGTCACTTTGAATAGAGCTGAATAGCCGCCAGTAGACATTGAAAACCAGGCTAATTGTGATCCCATTGGCTTTCCTTAAGATAGTGTTGAGCAGAGTCTGTAGGATCGAATCTAGTAGAATAGAATAGAGTAGGCTTTACTGATCCCTCAGTGGGAAGATTCGCATGTTACAACAGCACCAACACTAAAGAGAATAATGAAAAGAAACAAGAGTACATGTATGTACACATAGGCACTAGGCTAGTATTGTAACCTTTGACCACAAAAAAAAATCACGAATAAAAATGAAAACCAGTTTGACATCAACCAGTAACAAACAACAAAACCAGTAAAGCCAGTTTGACACCATTGTTCTGTAAGCCGGGTGATGAACACTGGTATGTACAACCCTCTGGTTACTTTGTCCCTTAGTTGGTTATGGTTAACTCAGACATTGCTTTAACCCTTTCATGCATAACGGTCACTACAGTGGACAGGTACTCAAAATAGTTATTTCTTTATTTTTGCTTTTAAAGAGCAAGTCACCCCTTACAAGAAACTTACTTCACTCCCACTTCATGTTTGAAAAATGCAACAAATGCTGTTGCCTAGCAGACCGAGAGGGTGGAGCCACTAACAAATACACACACTCACAACATTGTGACATCATAATGTACCAGTTTACATCATAGCTTACCTCTTAGCCAATAGCGGTGGCAGATTTAAATTCAAATGCAGTGAGTTTTTATCTGACAACGGCACAACCCTGACAGTTTCAGGCAGAAAATTTACATTTTAACTAAAATGCACTAAAGTACAAAACTATTGACTACACGTGTCTGCAGCACGATTAGACACACATTTATATAGTTTATCAGAAAAAAAAAAGTTGATTTGGGGGTGACTTGCTCTTTAAGCACAGCTGTTGCAGGCTTTATTGCATTTGAGCCCCTCCATTTGGACTTCAGTAAGTCGAGCCAACACATTTCATGTTCAGAACGCACGCTGTCCACGGAGGTGGACACATAATACATTATTTGTAAATTATTTAATGTTACAAAAAAATTGTTGAAATTAGTTTCATTCACACCTAAAGATGAATGAAATAAATGGTTTAAAAAATCATGGTTGAAGATTTCATAATTCATGCATCAGAGGTTTAAATGGGCCAGACCATGCCATTTTAAACCTTCGAGAGCAAAGGTAGGAACAAATATGCCAAAATATCACCGTTGGTACTAGTAAATGCCATTTTATCTTAGCTGTGGGTTAGGGCTGGGCAATAAATCGAAAATGTATCATTATCGAAATTTCTTACTCTTGTCAAGAAAAATTTTCCCATGTCAATAAATTTGACGATAAAGAGTGAAAAGATGTGTTTAGGGAAGCTGTACCACCACGAGTCATGTAAAAATGTGATTCAACATGATACACGTGACAGCCCCATCTAGTGGACAACCTTTGATTCTGCGCACACCTGTAGTTATCGTCCATTTATCGTTATCAAGGTGAAATCCTCCACATATGGTGATACTGGTTTGAGGCCATATCGCCCAGCCCTACTACGGGTTGTTTTTATCAGCCTGTATTTGAACCTGGGAATCAAATGCTCGGATTCAGGGTAGACATGTGATGTTCACAAACGAATCAAATCTTTTGAACGGGTTTTCAAAGTGAACTATGAGAGCAGAGTCTTCGTCTTCCTCCGCTTATCCGGGTCCGGGTCGCGGGGGCAGCATCCCAATTAGGGAGCTCCAGGCCGTCCTCTCCCCGGCCTTGTCCACCAGCTCCTCCGGCAGGACCCCAAGGCGTTCCCGGACCAGATTGGAGATGTAACCTCTCCAACGTGTCCTGGGTCAACCCGGGGGCCTTCTGCCGGCAGGACATGCCCGAAACACCTCCCCGGGGAGGCGTCCAGGAGGCATCCTGACCAGATGCCCAAACCACCTCAACTGGCTCCTTTCGATCCGGAGGAGCAGCGGTTCTACTCCGAGTCCCTCCCGAATGTCCGAGCTCCTCACCCTATCTCTAAGGCTGAGCCCGGCCACCCTACGGAGGAAACTCATTTCGGCCACTTGTATCCGCGATCTCGTTCTTTCGGTCATTACCCAAAGCTCATGACCATAGGTGAGGATTGGGTCGTAGATTGACCGGTAAATCGAGAGCCTGGCTTTCTGGCTCAGCTCCCTCTTCCCCACGACAGATCGGCTCAGCGTCCGCATCACTGCAGACGCCGAACCAATCCGCCTGTCGATCTCCCGATCCCTCCTACCCTCACTCGTGAACAAGACCCCGAGATACTTAAACTCCTCCACTTGAGGTAGGACCTCTCCCCCGACCCGGAGGTGGCAAGCCACCCTTTTCCGGTCGAGAACCATGGTCTCAGATTTGGAGGTGCTGATCCTCATCCCAGCCGCTTCACATTCGGCCGCGAACCTACCCAGCAAGAGCTGAAGGTCAGAGCTGGATGAAGCTAGGAGGACCACATCATCCGCAAAAAGCAGAGACGAGATTCTCCTGCCACCAAACTCGACACACTCCACACCACGGCTGCGTCTAGAAATTCTGTCCATAAAAGTGATGAACAGAACCGGTGACAAAGGGCAGCCCTGGCGGAGTCCAACCCTCACTGGGAACAGGTCCGACTTACTACCGGCTATGCGGACCAAACTCACGCTCCTCTGGTAAAGGGACTGAATGGCCCTTAACAGAAAGCCACCCACCCCATACTCCTGGAGCGTCCCCCACAGGGTGCCCCTGGGGACACGGTCATAAGCCTTCTCCAAATCCACAAAGCACATGTGGATTGGTTGGGCAAACTCCCATGCCCCCTCCATCACCCTTGCAAGGGTATAGAGCTGGTCCACAGTTCCACGGCCAGGACGAAAACCACATTGCTCCTCCTCTATCTGAGAATCAACAATCGATCGGACCCTCCTCTCCAGTACCTTGGCGTAGACCTTTCCAGGGAGGCTGAGGAGTGTGATCCCCCTATAGTTGGAACACACCCTCAGGTCACCCTTCTTAAAGATGGGGACCACCACCCCGGTCTGCCACTCCCTAGGAACTGCCCCCGATGACTACGCAATGTTGTAGAGACGTGTCAACCATGACAGCCCTACAACATCCATAGCCTTGAGATACCCAGGACGAACCTCATCCGCCCCCGGGGCTCCGCCGCTGTGTAGTTGTTTGACTACCTCAGCAACTTCTGCCCCCGAGATCGGACAGTCCATCCCCAGGCCTCCCAGCTCTGGTTCCTCCTCGGAATGCGCATTGGTGGGATTGAGGAGCTCCTCAAAGTATTCCTTCCACCGTCCGACTATAGCCTCA